CCGGTTGAATATGAGCTATAGTGTAGTTTCCCTCCACTGCAGTGGCTTACATAAACCTATCTTATCGTATGCTTATCTTTAAAACTGCTAATAATATGTAAATACGAATGTGCGTCGAATATCAAATTTGAGCTAGAGCAATAGTCTTTCAGAAAATAATATAACTTGGTTCTGATATTTTCCTGCAAATGATTTAAAACCTTATCCAACCCTAGTTTTCTTTGCCACTTAATTGCCATCTCTAAATCTTAACACAAAGTAACAAATTAATCGTGCAGATTGAAATATTTGAATAGAAATCACATATCGTTGCCCCTTTGATCTGGAAAAATTGCATATTTCCAATCCCAGCCGGAATCCGGAGCACCCTTAGCGACTTAACCTCCCTGTGTAACAACCTCCTTTCTCCTCTAGCCTCCAACATCCCTACGGCTTGTCTCATTTTTACCAACACTATTTCTGACAGGTCCCCAAATTTAATAAACCTACCGGCAATGACGGGAATTATGGTTAAAATTACGACTGCAAAACTAGGAAATATCATGTAAAAATAAAATGGCAAGGCATTAAACATTTTCAGTGTGACGAAATTAACCACTAACGCGACGAAGAATAACGCAAATAAATACAGTCCGGCAAAAAAATTGAGAATGTATTGATCCCATTGAAGAATGACGTGTAGTTTGATATAGGACGAGGCCACCTCGGGGAGTGGGAAAGTTGTGAATTTTGACAAATTTTGTGACAGTTTTGTCATGTAAAATGTGTAGTAAAGCATTCGCTGTGTGGCGAGGATGATGGCGCATGAGAGTGATCTCAAGGCTTCGGTAATTCCGATGGATAAGTAGAGAAATTTGCCAAGAAGGATAATTGCGGTGAGGATTAATGACCCGCCTGCGAGGGGCGGTCCACCTGCAATCTTGTAAAGGACGAAGGGTGCGCCCAGGTCACGATGGAGATAGAATGGCACGATGACCAGTGGGGTGAATGCATATACGGTTGGAATTAGTTGGAATGCTCGAACCAGGGTGGATGGTGGTGATGATGAAGAAAGTAAAGCTTTACGAGGTTTGTGTTCTACATAATTGGAAAAAAATTGTTAAACAGTTGGGATATTCAAATGGCATTCAAGAATGTTTTTTGAGTGAGGAGAGCTATTTGAGTCGTAGGTCTGTACATACATACATACATATGTAAATAGGTATGTTGAATGTGCATTCTTCCGGTCTGAGTCCTTGTATTTCATATTTGCAGATTTTGAAAGTTGGTAATTGATTATAGATTGTTTCTAAGGTGAGTTAATATGTTTTACTATTGACGAATACAAAGTAAACACCCTCTGTAAGTTGATCGCCATATGCAAATCATGTTAAACGTGCAAGGAAGACTTCTTGCTAACGCACCAGTATACATATACATATGTAAATATGTACATGCATACATACATATTTACATGCGTACATACATACATGGATAAATATCACGGGGCCGTTCATTCGATTTTCTGGGGAAACACCTCCAAAAGTTTGTAAAATTGTCAGACAAATTTTATCTGAAAACAAAATTCGGATAGTCTCTCATATCTCAAATTTTATGGTTCAAAGCTCCCATTCGAAGGAGGTCTTTATGTTTGCATATTTACTTACGTTTTCTCTCTAATAGGAATAAGCAGTCGACAAGCGCATTTGCCACATTTGTCAGTATCTCCATCTTCCCGGATAGTTCATAATAAGCTACAAATGCCGATACATAGATAACACCAGAAACCGCACATATCAGAATTTGCTTCGTATCGAGAAGCCTGACGGTGGATATGTTAACCAAAAACAGAATGGCCAGGGATGAGAACGCCGTAGCAAAGATGAAGGAACGAACAAGGAATATACCAAATGTCGAGGTGATCGATCTCTCCATGTGGTTCAGTTGTTGATTCTCAATGCTGAAACTGATCGGAAATATCCAATGATATTTGTAACATTTCACAAATGTTGATGCGACAAGCCAAATGTTGTCAGTGTCCATTTTGATGGGGTTAAAAAGAATAGTGATGCTAATAGTAGGATGACGGATGGAAAGAGGTTTCAGACTTTTCAAAAAGTTGAGCCCTGGGAGGAATTAAAATTTTTAAGACACTACGCAAGTTTGAGTCTCAAAATTCCTTGGATGGCATATATCTTGGATTGTAAATACATGTGAAGTCAGAGTGATTATAATTGTGCTAAAAGTGGATTGAACAGCAATTTTTTCTCGATTTCTGCCAAGGCTCATCTCTTTCTAAATTCAGACCATGTACATATGTATGCACATTGCTCGTGTGCTAAATTAAAACTTGCTTTATGAAGACAATAGCTAATTTATTTATGAAACCTCCTTATCGCTATTTATGTATGAATTTTCTATTATTTGGAGGTCGATTTTATTAATTTATTGCGTCTGGATATGTAAATGTGTAGTTGAATAGTAAAAAATATTGACCTTTCTGTTGGAGTGGAGTTTTATAAGTTATTCAAGGTAGCATTATGTATTTACATATGTGAATACCATGTTTATGTACATTTGTCAACATTTTACTTCTTTTTAATTATGCATTTAAAAAGAAAGAAAGTTGATACATATGCAGGTATGTAAGTGGCATTAAGTTTTATGAACCATTTAATGACTTTATTCTATGTAAGTCTGGGATATGGAAATGGTCGTTCTATTCAATTTCTTATAAGTATACATTAAAAGTTTGCTAAAAATTATTGCTCGAATTACCCATGGCTAATACATACATATTCTAATCTGAATCAATAACTCCAAGCTAACAATTTTCCTCTTCGTAAAATTTACCATCTGCATTTGCACGTCAAACATATGCTCAAAACCTTATGTACAATAGTGAATCAGATAAATGATGTGAAATCTAGTCATGCAAGCACTACTGAGGGTGGGGCAAGATGTCGGAGAAATTTTCAAGAATTTTTCTTACCTATAGTCGAATTTTTTTTTTATGAGATACTTGCTCAATATGGTGCCCCTTGTTCTTAACTACAAGCCTGCATCGTTTTTTCCATGATGAAAAGACCTCTCGACACTTTTCTGGGGTAAGTTTTGACCACTCCTCGTTCAGCGCGTGCCAAAGTCCCTTTAGAGTTGTCGCTTTCCTGTGAAAAGCCCGTTGTTTTAGAAAGCCGAATCCGAAAAAATCCAAAAGGGCAATCTCAGGTGACTTGACAGGGATGTCCTGATTTTCTATGAGCTCGGGACCAAAATTTTCTTTCACCGTCTTGGCATACAGTAGGGTATTCCGTGCGGTATGCGAAGACGCTTTATCGTGGTGAACATTTACTTTCTCCTCCTCCCCAGGACAGAGCTTTGGTATTTCTTTTTCAACTAATGGCACCAAAACATCAGAAATATATCGGGCTGCATTGATTTTGACATTTGGTGGCACTTTCGTCCAAGGAAGGGGACCACGGCCGGATAATGCTCCGATGATCATCACTTGGTCACCTAACCTCTTCTTCTTCTGACATACACATTGAATGGGACATTTTCTCCATGACGCACGCAGCAAATTGATCTCGTCCCGCTGCAGTCATCTACCCTGAATAGTGCTTCGTCGATTGTGACGACGAACTTGTCCATTCCTCCTGCAAGTCGTCGTTCAACCAGCTTTCGGGCGTCGATCCTGCAATTCTTGATGTGGCGTTCGTTCAGGGCGTGAACTTTGGTCTTTTCCGCTTGACCTTCCCCAAATCCCTCTTAATAATTCTGCGGATAGTTGTTGGGTTGGATTTGAGCAGTTTTGCGATGCTGCTAATGCTCTTTGGGTTTTTCTGGTTGGTTAAACGATTGAGCGGATTTTTAAGCTTTTTGGTACGTTCCGCAATTGGGTGGTTTTTTGGGGGAGGAGTCAATCCCAAGTTGGTGAATTGTCTCTTAATACATTGTCCGTTTCGTATTTTATAAATTAAGGACAGATTAGCCTCATGGCCATTGGTTTAAAGTCTTTTTTAAGCACACTTCCGGTCCAACCTCGTTTGGTAAAGTCTTTGACTAGTACCTCCACTTCCGAGGAGCATGTGAGGTGCATTTTTGAAATTTTTGAACCAAAAAAAATCACACAGAGTTTTTGAGTTTTGCTACAAGATTCTGGAACCAATTTAATTTGCCCTTCCCGGTTTTTGAATATCACGTCGTCAAAAATTTCTCCGACATCTTGCCCCATCCTCTGTATTAGATCGCGTTAGGAAGTCGGCAGAATTTTGAGCTAATCACAAATTCTTGTAAATATTAAAAACCTCTCCAACAACGCAACAATGAACACGTATGTTCTCATTGTGCATGCAACACCTATATAATCCTCCGCACAGTATGGAACGACAAACTAGTACATTAAAAGGTACATATGTACGTTACGAGTACATTAATGTGTACATGCGGACTTTACTATTTACCAAGTTCATGAGAACAATAATGATTAAAAACGTTAAGCGATTGATGTAAGTTATCCCAACTTTTAAATATTTATACTGCAGGTATGTATGTATGTATCAAACATTATCAACAAGATGCGACCGGTACTTATCGAACAATCAATCCAACATCTCAAGTGTTAATTAAGCTGTGTCATGACAAACACAAGATACATACGCAATTGACGCAAGAGAGATATGCATATGTATGTATTTATGAATGTGAATGTATGTACCTCCTTTCATTATTGCCTACATACATCTATCTAATTTGGGACGTGCATAAAGAATGACGGTTTGGGTTAAATGTTTATGTAGAGTATCTCTTTAGCATTCTGCACAACTTTGTATGTATGCATGTAGTGGTTAAAACGACCCACATGCTTTATCTGCTAAACCGTGCACGTTTGTACTTGAATATTAATTTGTACTCGCATTATGATAATGACAGATTACAGTAATTGAATCGTATTTAATTCCGATAAGCGAGAGATCACCGAACGTTTTTCCCGTACGTATTTATTTAAGAGTATAAAACAACACGCCATCGTCCACAGGGGTCATTCTTTTTTGTGTCTCCTGATAAAACGAATAATGGCGTCAGGGAATTTCAACATGGTGAAAGTCACACTACTTGGTGTGCTGTTGGTAGGGGTTTTTATTCAGGTGGTAAAAAAGATTAATGGGAAATTTTGTAAATACAACGCAAACATACGCAATTTTGTATGCAAATTAGTTAATTGTTGCAAAATATACTAATTTTATACATATTTATGCACACAGGCCAGCCATGGGATGGATGACCAGGTAATAAACCGACCCGTCGTACCATATCCAACAACCAGGAAGGCTGTCGTGATGCAAGACATAGCGAATAATTTGGGACCAGACAAGCCAGAGGTAATAATTGTTTAAAATTTTATATTTCAAATTGCAATTTTCTAAGTTTTTACGTTTTATGATACGTCGTGTGTGCATGTGATAATTATGTATGTGTAAGAATAGCCTCAATAGGCCATGAACTAAAAAATTTGCACAAACAAAATTTATCACGCGACCTGGAATTAAATACACCATTTGATTTTAAAATTTAAACAAAAAGTCAGCCATGGTGGATAAATGAGTACCCAATACACATTATTGCATGTGAGGTGAGTTTGGGTTTGATGATTGGGTACAGAACTTGCTAAAATTCATTATAAAACATGATAAAATTGTGTACCAATCCATGTACCTGCTCCGCACAATTATATGAAATTGATTGCATTTTTTAAAGTTTTTGTAACTTGTGCCGCACTAAATGGTGGGCTCATAATTTAGTTAAAACTGATGTATGTACAAGTGTTTCATTTTTAGGTATATGTCAGGCTATAAATTAAATTATTTAATTTGACTTGATTTTTAATTAAAAATATGAGAGTTCTGGAGTTGGGGACCAGATTATAAACCGACCCGTTGTTCCATATCCAACGACTAGGAAGGCAATGGTTGTAAATTTTGGGTTGGATAATGCACAGGTGATAATTAGTCAAATTTTTCCATTTTATGATTCTTACGTTCTAAACACGCACATGAGACGCCCTCCCCCTAATTTTAATGGTCACCTTCTTACGAGATATCAATGATATAACAATCAATATACTTAATTTATTTTAGGAGGTGGGTCAAGTTGAAGAAATTCTACAAATTGATAAACGACCTGTCGTTCCACGTCCCACGACTAGAAAGGTTCCACAATTTTGAGAAACGGACAACAAATAAATTGAAACTAATTTAATCCAGGAATTTTATAAATTTGTGGCATCGAAAATGGCATCGAAATAAAAAGTCAAGTTAACGTTTGTAGGTTTCAGTTTGTGTTTAATATTTCTAAAATAAATATATATGTAAATCAAATTCTTAACATGCTGCCTAAGCATGAAGCAAATTCATGAGCACACGAAACTTTCTCCCCTTGAAAATTAGCCATTGTCATAAACACATAGTATTTATTTAAGTCCACATTTCTAAATCCAAATCCTCGGGGCAATCCAAACACTTTCTGAACACTTTGAAATATTGACGGTACATTCAAACTTCTGGGCACTTGAAGGAATATCTGGCCTTTCTGAGTTCGTTAGCATCTACAGGGTCGGGTCCATCGCCGCCCATTTCGTGGCTCAATTTTATCCAATCAATGCCATACTTAGCCCTCAAGGCTTCCCGCCAGTCACTCTTCTTCCTCCCATAGACGTCCACAATCCTCGCAATTTCTGGAGGTGCAAAGGGTCTGATTACATTTGTCCAGAGTGGGACTGCTATGTCGGGAGCTAAATAAAATAAAGTTGTGTACTTATTTATCTATAATTTGGTCGGCACATTCTAAATAATCCGGTAATAAAATACTTCCGAGCGGTAGATCGAAAGAAATACTAAAATCAAGTATTTACTACAATATTCTATACAAAATACGGGCATAAGGTTTTACTGCACAGGTAACAATTTTTCTACAAATAAATTGGTAACTTTACTACCCAACCGGATGATTCACAGTGTGCACGCAAGTAGAGTTAAATACATTATTTTTCTTACTATTTATTCCGAGCGCAACATAAATCAAGTTAGGGAAATGGGCACCCAAAGATTGCACGAGATAAGTGTAGAAGGGAATACCTGCAGAAATAATGTCGAGATTATTCATTGATTCCGTATTGTGTAAGCTTTTAAATATGTAAAACGTTTCTGAATTAACTAGTTTGATGCCACATTTATAAAACTAAAGGGTGTGAAAAAAGGTGAGTTAGATTTTTTGGTAAAAAATCTAACTGTAAAAATGTATGGTTTAGGTTTTATGTACTGTAAAAAATTTTACAGTACGAAAAGTTGAGTCTAAACGTATCTCGAATTTCTGTAAGTTAAAATATTTAGTTTCGGGTCGAACTTTATCGACAATAAAACTGGCAATTCGAAATGAAGTTCCGTTCATATAGAGTGTATTTGGGTTTCGAAAAATTGCAGTTTATGGCGAGATCATTGAATTATACGGGTGCATTTAACTCTGTGCGAACAAAAATTTCCAACTTAATTGAAATAAACGGGCTGTGGAATTCATAAATAAAGAAATTTCACTTACACCGCGGACAAGCTTGAACTTGCAAACTTAACGAGGCCATGTCCAGTATTAAATTTATCCGCGTAGCGTTGGCCCCATCAGCTTGCATATTTCTTAACATGATGGACATTTCTTCAAAGCATTTGTCAATGTAGCGACGCAATTTGTCCGACTGGCCGGCAATAGCAGCTCTGCGCATGTCCCATTCACCAACGAAGAGGACTAAATCTGGATGAATTAAGTGATTTTGTATTAAGCACGATTAAAAATTACTGTGTGGAGAATGTACGTATGTACATTATAGGTATGTAGAGTTGTACTCATTCATATGCCTAGGGCATTTAGGCATTTATGGCATGCCTTATTTGCCCAATTTGCCCGGCGTTTAAATTTATGTATGCCCACATAAGGATAATGTTATAATAAATGCCCAGGGCATAAATGCTATGCGCTAAATGCGCTAAATGCCGGTCATTTATTTTTATGCCCTGGGCATTGTACAACTCTATTAATGTACATAGCCAATTAATAGGTGTGTTACAAAGTTGGGTATGTAAAGATACAGGTGATAGAAATTTTGCTAAGATCGATACATGTATTTTTTAAATCCTCGTGCGATTGTCTTATAGAACGCATACAACACATTTCCAATTTACTATGTAATTTACAACAACCTTAAAATCTCAACTAAAATTCCTTCGAGTGTGTAACTCGAAGCAAAGACAGATACGATTCGACACCAATTTAACCAATTTTTTAACTTTGTTAAATTTCAAGAAAGTGAAATTTTTAGTTTTCAACATAAAACTCATTTCCATATGTATGTATGTATGGTCGTAAACCTGTTGGACCAGGTTTAGATGATAATATTCGTTTCAAATCCGGCAACCTTCCCATATTGTAACATTTCCGTGCATGAGTTTGTCCCTGCTACATAAATAAACTTACTTGGGTTTCCCTTATCATCGCAACCATCCATATTAAAGCGATACTGGTTGTTGAATTCGGTCCAATCCTCGTCCAGTAAAGTGTCCATTTCTTTTTTCCTTGCGCCACATCAGATTCTAGGTGGATATATAAAACGACGGTTTAATGCATATCTGCAGATATGCCACTTCATCCCAGCACATCCTAAAGATATACCTAGGATCTACCAATGTCCGCCAAAAAGACGTCTTTTGGACGTCTCATATCTCTTATAACATGGGGCACATCCAAAAGACGTCTTTTTGGCGGACATTGGTAGATCCTAGGTATATCTTTAGGATGTGCTGGGACGAAGTGGCAGATTGGGTGTGTTTCCATAATACATAGGTATTTATGTATTAAGCTGTATATAAATTTACGACCCGACCTACCTCTCGTAACATGCCAAGAGCCGCAGGAATATCAAAATTTCGGACTTGTGTAAAAAATTAATGCATATGTTACATATGTTACACTTTGACATTTGTTAAACTTTCGAGTTCCACAAGTATGAAAGCAAATAATTTGATATGAATGCAACTTACCTCGAAGCCATTGGATGAGGTAAATGTCTTTCTTCATGTACTCGTGGGGCAGATCGGGTTCCATGATTTCCCTAAACTGGAAATTGTTTATTAATTATTTAGTTTTATTGTATGCTTGTTTTCCTTAACTAAAACATATGCCTGATTTCAAAGCGGAGAGTTTAAATTTAAAACCATTTTCCTAAATAAATATATACTTTCTAATTCTAGTTTTAAATATTTCAGTAATTTCTGAGCTCGGCATAAATACGTAAAGAAGTACTTAACTGGTTCAATTTGTTCATAATATCTTTTTACCGTTCCCATTTTTATTCCCATTGCGCATGGTCAGCAAGCGCTCTACAACGTTGGTTTAAGATATGGACATGTCCAAAGCTTATAGGAACAACATATGCAAAACTTTTTTCGATATTTTGAACTTTGATATGCTCACGTATGTACCTATGTACAGATGGACAGAACTAGGATTTTCTCATTCCCTTCATGTCAATGTCAAAAATGTACATAACTGATTATTAAGTTTCTTACCTCGTCCAATTTCAATTTCTGTTCCCAACTTATGACCAAATCATCGTTTTGTGCCTCAGAAGGAAACCCGTTCACAACCAAGATTAACACAATCAACACCGCGAGACACATCTCGACAAAATTAGTTAGTATTTACTGCGGAATAAATCTAGTTTAATATTTATAATCCAGCCTCGACAAGAGTGAAACTCATTCTGCGTAAAATAAGTAAATTACAGATGTATACATATTTTTTCCCACAAATTTTGTAAGTGAATCATTTTCCTCAACCGCTCTAGACTATCTACATGGCAGCGTAAAAATTACTTACATAAATATTTAAGCACATGAGACACCAGAGTAGGCATCGTGGGAATATTCTATATTTGCATAAGTTGCATTCTTGTCGGATTAGAGGAAATGGAGCTCAATCAAACAGTGTGTCTGCTTTGTAATTTATATAATGTCGTGAGCTCTATTAGATGTGCATTTCTTTTTTGACCTTGTCGTCTGAGAAATTGCGATACTAATCTTTTACATAAATCCTGATTTATATAAACACATACATAAATACGTTATGAATCTTTTGTAGTCTGAGGTTAACATTTCAGTAAAAAATACATACATTTATTTTTCTATATTTTATCCATCTATGTAAATACGTATTTAAGTATATACACTCTTAGAAAAATCATCACCAAATCAATTCCACGCGGTGTCACTATGTGACTTAACCGGGTTGGAAACAAATCGATTCCGTGCGGATATTATTCTCGTTTTCACCGCAGCGGAATCATTTCCTTCAACTAAGGTGACAATATCATCTCCGCTCTGTTACAATCTGGTTCATGGTTTCGGTGGCAGATTGTAACAAGGCAGTGTCAAACTTAACCCGATTGTTATAATTTTTGGTGTTTTCCGGAAATAATTTTACTCCGGCAGGTGTTCTTGCTTTTCATGTACGGTAACGATGGTTTTAACCATTTGGAAATGTAATCAGCACACTTCAGGTACAATTTTTGTAATAATTTAAATAAAATTGACATTTATTATAATTCAAAATCTCTAATAATTTATACAACTTACAAATTAAATTATAATCATGAAGTACAATTATATTGGATGTAAATATGTATGTATGTAAATACCTCGCCTGTTCAAGGAGGGATGATGGCGCAAGATTGGTCCAAGTATTTAGGAAATTAATTCATATTCACTGGGTGATGTAGGGAAAACTCACAGTTGACCTGTATAAAGATGAATAAATCCAATTAGTATTTGCTTGAACGTGGATCTGTATAGCTCTACATTGTACATTAGAATTTATAATTGTTCACATAAAAAATTCAAAAAAAAAATTATTTTGATTAAAGAAATATCTACCTTTTTATAAAAATGAGTATTTTGTTCCCAAATCGGACTTCCTTTTGACTGTGGTAAGTTAGCAGTAGGTAGCGAGTCGAATGAGCCTAAAACATAAATAAATATTTGAAAACGGACGAAATATTTGAATTAGCTAATAACTAAAATGAATTAATTGATGAATACCTCTTAGGAACTTTCCCCCTTAAGTTCAAAAATTACGTACGAGCCAGTATGACGACAGGACCTCACCATCTACTTTTGCGCTGTGGTCGCCCTTGGGCAGAATTTCGTCCTCAAAATCTGTTCCAAACTCGGATTTTATTAAAATATACACAATACAAATATTTACTTTGTTAAGTCATTAATTTATAAATATGCGACCTTACATGTCTCTAAAAAATCCAGGCAATTAGTGAGGAAAAAATTAATTTCCTTCCTTTGATGGCACGGGATACACGAATTAATTTTTTCTCCATGTTGTCGCTGGTGGTGGCGAAGAACAACTACGCAATGGAGCATGCCGCTTCAACAGGCTAGATTGTTGCATTGTTGTGACAAACTGACCACAAGCGGAATTAATTCTATTCCGTTGGGTGCAAAATATTATCACTAGCTTGGTAGACGAATCAACTATGCAACAGTAATAATTAGATTACTATTATGGTTAAAATTTAACTCTGTATTGTGTTAAGTTTAACACTATGTAGAAGTGTTTGCATTTTACGGTACGGTATTACTTCTACACTTTCACGGATACAATTTCGGACATAATTTTATTTCCGTGCCCGTGTTGTTCCTTATAACGGAATGAGGGTTGCGATTTTTTTGGGAAATCATTACCGGTTTGCTAAGAGTGTATAATTATTGTACTAATTTATATTATAAGTTGAAGTAGAATTCCTGTTTGTTTACCGGCAGGTTTTATGAGCCTTAAGTACATAAAGTGTGAAGCTATTACGAATGTATTTCAAGCAGGTGCTCGTGGTGGTAAATTTTTGCGATTAAAAACCAGTTTTAATCCCCTAGCTGCGACTGTGAATATGTATCTAAGACGAAGTAATAAATATTTTACCCGATTAATATCTCCACAATTGAATTAATTAAGTAAATATGTGGCCTCTTTGATTTGACCAATATAATCATGTTACCCCCGAATTTGCATGTGGTTGAGTCGTTGAGTGTTTGGAAAAGCTGGATAAGCTTACATAGGTATTTACAAGTTAATGATAATCTACCCCATTTTCATGGGTATGTATATTATTACCTGTAAGCCAAAAACACCTTGCAGTTCACTGATTAAAATATTATCGATTATGTGCTCAAACGTAAAATAATAAATGTGATGCAATACAAGAAGTCCTCAATTTTATAGTATCCGTAACTTTCATACCAATTATAAATAATGTTTAGGTTTCCGAAATTTAGAACGAATGAAAATCCACCCATAAAATATATTTCTTCCCGAATTGCGTATGTATGCTCGCTTTAAAATTTAATGCTGCGCAATGCTTAATTAAATATAAGTAATTAAAAATATGTAAGTTTACTCCAGTTTTAACCTTAATTTAATTACAATACAAGATCAAATTAATGTTGGTGGTATTATTTACATATGTGTTTGCGTTTCCACTAAGAACGAGCAATATTTGCATAGATATGTATGTAGCCACATACTTATGAATTGTGGGTAAATATGTATGCATGTAAATAAATTCACACGTACATAATACTCAACTGTATAAATCATATACATATTAAGAAAATGGCAATTTTGACGACATTTTGATACCTTAAATTGTCAAGGGCACAATTTCTGAAATAAGGGCCGTTTCCCTGCGTCCATATGCATACAAAAAATCTTACATTTGATTGGACATGACGACTACCGATTATGCAAAATAATACATACTTGAGGGCTGAAAAACTCCAATTTGGGCACAATCAACACAACAGTTACAATGTTTCTCAATCACGACCAATTCAAAAATTTTGAGCTTATTGCAAAAGAAGACATGCCAAGCTTCGATGTAAGCCCACAAACCTTGAAAAATTCCAACGAAAATTGACAACATGAGCAATCATGTTTTGGCAAACTTTGGAAAAACGCTTATTTCAAGCTTCCGAAAAAAAGTTACATCAGTGGTGGGATATAGATTCTTAAAAATGGTCCGAAAATTAGATGTATATTTATCCTAGTTTAAACATGCCAAATTGTATCAAAATTCATTTGACACTTTGTTAATTACAGATGAAAACATCGGGTGCCCCTTATTCTGTAGGGTTTTAATAACGAGTGGGATATATGGAGGTTAATATGCAATGGCAGAATGTGGGGCTCTATGGTCTAAAGGTATGACGCTTCGGATCTAACGAAGAAGTACAGGTTTCGAGTCCTGTTGGGTCCCCTATTTTTGCCAATTTGCCTATTATTCCTCCTGAAAGTTCTCAATACACTCGCCTCCAAATTCCAAAGTCAATATTATCAGTTTACATATTCTATTTATCAATCATTCAAACTAACTACCATTCACTACCTCTCAATAATATATCCCACAATTCACCACTTCACCATAAGTAGTATGAAACACTTTGGTTTATTAGTCGATTTCGGCTAAACAGGCAAACCACATAAGAGCGTTGTTTAGAACAATGTCGGGATATTTAGTGTTCTTTGTTATCCATTTTTATACATTGATAAGAACACTGGGTTTTAAATCGAGCAAGTCTATATATGCATATATGTACATTTAGACTGAGGCAACAGTTTAATTCGTGCATGAAGTGATGTATGTATGTCCAAGTAGTACATTTTTCACATATATATTTATTTCACCTAATAAGAAAATGACTCATTTCATAAAATGTAAAGACGTCTGACTTTGTAGAAATTAGAAATTAACCCAATTTCTCTTAAGAGGCTAAAGCATCTACAATTTTCCACGTGGTATCTTCTTTAAATAAATGAGGGCTATCTTTCGAATCATACCGGCTCGAGTCTGCAATCCACACTTCTCCATTGTAATGTCGAATAAATCTTTGCGGGTAGTTGTACGATTCAAATTTGAACTCTCCCGGGTTTTCTCCTTTTCTTAGGTAAAAAGTGGCGTCCAATTTTAAAAGAGTGCTGCCATCGTCGTGGCTTAGTTCAATGCGCCAATTTCTATGGCGCAAATATTGACCGGGGTAATTGAACGATTCCAAGGTAACCAATTGTTTATTTGCTAGTCCGGGAATAAGCCGCCAAGTCGAGCTCTCTCTACCGTTTTGACTTTGAGTTGAAGTAACATGGTTTAGAATCCATCCCTTAAAATCCTTGTGACCCAAGTAATGATCCGTTATTCCGGGTGTGGTTACTCGGATAGACTTCCAACTGTTTAGGACGTTCTGCTCGCTGTGAATTTAAAAAAATTTTAGGAAAGGCCATAATATCGACCTCCATGATATAGCTGGGAGAAAGTTCTTGCAACTATTTTTCGAAAAATGAAAGGTGAAAAAAACTCTAGAAACACCCGTCGCTATAATTCCGGGTCGCTAGATAGTTTCGTGCACTTTCGTACGGTTTTTACGCGTGCGTTCTCTGCATTTTTACAGTTTTTTTGCATTTCTTGATGGGTTTTTACTATTGGTTGAAGTTACTTGCATTTTTACTTATCTGTGTAAGAAATGGAGCAAGTCCTTAGGAAATGATATTTAACTAAATGTTAAATTGCACGCTGAATAATTGTAAAATTTTAAAAAAATAATTCTAAAAGTTAAAACAGAAATATGTGACTCCCGTCTTTACTTTGAAATAATCTTCTCGATCCATGTCGAATATTTGGAGACATCCGTGTAAACTCCCGGGACTCCAGTCATACCGCAAGAAATTCCGAAAGAAACCACGCCACATAAAACTTTATTGTTGCCATCGTTACAAACAACCGGTCCGCCAGAGTCTCCTTTAATAAAGTACATACATAATTTTTATTCAGTGATTAGTCTTCGATAATTTGCATTTTAAATGGAAAATTTGATAAAAGTGTGTAATACCTTGACAAGAGTCTCTTCCGTCACCTCCGAGGCAAATCATATTATTTGAGATGACAGCTTTTCGGTGGCATAAACTTGTCGACACTTGTCTTTCAAGGCTATTGGAATCTGTACTTTTTGCAAAATATCAGACAACTTTCCATCATGTGTCACTCTTCCCCATCCTGTCACTGTTGCAGTTCCTTAAAAAAAGTTGAGAATCCCAAACTTATTAAAAACACTTCTGTCATGTGAGATTTTTGCACATAAATTTCTGTCTTGCAAAACAAATTCTGTCTGTCCCATGAAACATTTTTCTCATTTTCTCGATAAGGGACGGACCGACATGACTGTTCCATTAGCACCGACTTGGGATAAAGAAGTCTAACCTAAACTCAACCAACCTGCAAAATCAGTTGCTATCTTCGGCCATGGAATTGGCTGGACAAACGTATTTAGTTCCAGTTTCTTGTCTAACTGAATAATTGCGATGTCATTGTTATACCTTGTCGGTTTATCGTATGACGGATGGTTGTGAATCCGACCAACTTTGCGACTTTGTTCGGTTCCCTCGTCCTTTGAAATTGTGTGGTCGCCAGCCACCACAGTCATACCGTTAAGTATTTTGGGATCTTGCAAACAATGGGCGGCAGTCAGGATGAAAAGCGGGGCGAGAATTGAGCCCCCGCAGAAAATTTGGTTATTTATATCACGGAGATTTACCTGGTAGGGGAACTCGTTGGGGATTGCGTTACTTCCGAGCAAGATGTTCAGAGTTACCCCTAAAAAATTTGGGGGTTGTAAAATTTTACTAAAAAATATGTTATTTTAAAGTTATTTTTAAGTAATTAATTACCTCCGAGCGAATAGTTTTGCATTGTTTTTATTTCTGGGGGTGTATTTAAGTTTTAAAAATATTGGCCAAATGGTGTTAAAAATGTGAAGTTGGAAGTTGTGCAACTTTGTTTACTAAGTAAAAATGAAACACGGTCGAATTTGAGTTACAAAAAATTGCGATTGTAAATATTTTCAGTGCACCTTTATCCCTACAACATTAATATATATTATAACACGATATATTTAACATTTAAATATTTATGTATCATTATTAAACTGTGCTTTCACCTTGTGCACAATATTTAATGCTTGTTTAATGTGTATTCATTTAATTTTACTTATATTACAGATATTAATTGGGATTTAATACATGTGGATATTTTTCAAGTGAAAATGTACACTCTGGAGTTTGGCGTATAGTGGGTAATGATGTAAATGGTAAGAAATGATTTAGGTGGTACATACATCATCACGTAATTTTGGAAACCGGTTTCTCGTAGGATTTCTTGGAAAACTTTTTTTGACATGTGCAAATCTTGTTTTTGGGCTACGTGATGGAGCGTTAAAATAGTCGAGGACCATATGAACTTGTTAGTATTTAGCTACATACATGCATATTTGTGTTTTATAGTAAGCATAAGAAAGGCTAAGCAGATAGCCGTGTTATTCCTCTATAATTACACGAACTGATGAATTGAGAACGTCATCCAGGGTGGGGGACGAATCGTCCAAGCATTTTGTGAGGATAAATGAGGAGAATAAATTCGTTTTTATTTACAAAAATATGTTGTTTTTTACAATCATGTAGCAGGTATTACTAGGATAAGATTGCTACCAAAGCGAAGTAAATTTGTTACCGCATAGTAATATTTTTCATGCAGGAGTTTGACTTATTAACATGGAATGAATCCTTTGAGTTATGTAATCCCAGGTGAAATTATATCTTCTTGCGAATCACATCCCTGCAAAGACAAAATTTCCTTCCATCGTGGGAACACAGGTAAATTGGCATTGTGTTTGTATGCACGTATGTTTATGCAGAAGGCATTAACTGATTCGAAATTGTTAATTATAATTATAAAGCCAAATTTAAGAAAATATGAGGCATTTGAAGTGATTTCTTCTCTTGGGTAAGCAAGTTGATTATTTGTATGACTCATATATGTATGTATGTAAGTAATCAACTTCCTGCATTAACCGGAAAGAAAGTAATTATTGCAATTGGGGAAGAAAACCATGCCCGTCTGAGGATAGGCCTCAATTTTATTACGAAAATTAAATGCAGAGGTGGAGGCGGAGAGAAGGGGAGGAAGTTGGTATTGATGGAACGTTCATAAATCAACAAATCTCGTTTAATGAAAAAAATGCGGAGATTTGCACGCATTATTTTTGCAAATGGGGTTCTGCCTGAGGATTATCTACCAAAAGGAAGCACAATGAACTACCAACACTATGTGGAAGTACTGGATAATCTAAATTACCGTATCAAAAATGGAATAATTTGTGTATTAATAAAAAATACAAGTGTGTCTACAAGACTAATTGATAATTGATGACACGGGTTTTCCGTTTATTGTTTTACCCTATTCCAACCTATGTTGCATCCATGTAACGCTAATTACACCTCACAAATTGATAAATTGGATCAATTAGTGGACATAATTACCATGATATTACTCACCTCGCTGTAAATAAAAGCAGGATTCAATTCAAACCAAGCAAACTTCACTTCTAGCTCTACTCAAAAATTTCCACTGGTTTTGTTCTTCAAATTTTTACCATGTTTCCAAAATTTGGTGGTGTTTTTAATTCCGTAATCCTGGCATTGTTCGTCATAACGGTGATCTCCGTGAAGAAAGTGTCCGCAGAAGTGCATGAAATAAAGGTAGAGAAACATGCTTAAAATTATTTTTGTACTTTATCGATAAATTCGTACATAAAATGAATATTCAATTCTATAATTTTTTCATATTTTTCCAAAGTCGACAGCTGAATTTGACAACTTCCTCCAAAGCGGAGTTTTTGCCGCGAATTTTTATGCCGATTGGTGTGGCCAATGTAGTGACCTGGCTCCCCAATTTGACCAACTGTCCCGAGATTACCCAAACTCTGTATCCTTTGTGAAAATTGATGCCGACGCGGTGAATGAGTTGGCCAGAAAATATGGCGTTCGGACACTTCCAACAACAATTATATTCCGAGACGGGCACTTGGTTTGTACTAATACTAAATAATTTATGTAGTAATATTAGGCAGGTTGAGAAAACGAGGGAGTAACGGAATATTTTTTGATTGTGACGGTACATATTGATGTACTGCTGATTTTTTTAGTCTTGACGAACCGAACAGTTAAAATTTACTAAAACCTGTAAAAATGCAGAGTATGAAGCTAAAGCTTTAATTCGTTTAGTCTCAATTAGTTCGCCTTCTCAACCTGCGTATTTTTGCTATACCGACGAAAACATATTTCATATAATGTTTTTGTACGTATATAGCAGAGAACTGTACCTGGAGCAAGGATTGAGCCCATAAAACAAGCCATTTTGAGTGAACTTGAATAAGGCAAACAAATCGATGCCAGGGACAACGAATCTGTATCACTATGTGGAGGCAATAATTAATTTAAGGTTCATGAAATTCTGTAAAAAAGTTCATATTTGGAGTGAAAATGCGACCAAATAAATTATGATACGAGAAATTATCGTAAATATACCTTAATAGATTTTGAGAATAAATTTGACTTGTTGAGTTATCATGTGCAAGTACATACTACAGTCGTCAAGCTGAAGGTTTCGTGCATTTTTTTTGTGCCAATAAGTTTCCAATTGCCAAGTTGTGAGCATATTGACATATAATTTTCATATAAATAGAATTTGCCGTAATGAAAAAATACTGGTTTAAACAGGTTTGAAATTTGTATGTACAACTTGAAACCATTGACTATTTGAAATAAGATTAACGCTTAGAAACTTCAAAATTTGTAAGAATTTTACAAAATGACGTGCATTTTATACACTTATGAGAATCATTCAGACGGGTTTACATTTGGACGGGGGTGTGGACTCGGACGGACACACTGTTTTTACATTGCTACCAGTTTGGTACCTTTCATCATAAGTTGAAATTTGGAACTTCCGAAGACTGTTCATTTGAGTTAACACTACCTGGAAATTAAGCCATTATCAATTAATGGAGATACATATTCCAGCCACCAGCGGCAGATACATATGTATATATTTCGCCTGTTTTCAGGAAAATGCACATGCTTCAATAAATTATTAAATTTCTAGCGAATTCCTCTTCATACGCTTCAACTTAAAATAAAATAAACTAAATATTAATTAACATCACATGGATTTAGGCTATACTTGTGACCGGCCTCATGGCAATAAATATACAGCTATAAAACACACTTACTGAGAAATAGATCAAATTTTTTGCAAATGCATTTGTTTATAAGTTAACCCATATCCGTGGAATAACCAAAATTCATAATGTTTTGCGCACTAGGGAAATCAAACTTAATTATGTATGTATGTCATCTACAATTCATTAAATGAAAACATTGCTGTTATATAAACATACTGCGGGTTACTTACTAGCAAAGTTAATATTGTTATGAAATACCAATGATTACGGTGAAATATATCTAAAATAACATGACATGCTCACCACTAAATTTATTCAGACACTAAACTTTCTGTCATGATTCTGTTATAATCCTGTGTTCTACTTAAATCCAGGAAACAGAAACTTCAGAAACTTCCCGAAATACGAATGCAAAACTTATTTTCCAAATCATCATGTATTTCACTCAGTTTCTTCCTTTCATATTTCGCCATGTCAAATTATCCAACCTCATACACAGCGCTCCTTTCGAATTTGACTCGAAATCTGGGAAACTCATCCTTCTGAAATCCAGTTGGCGTATCACACAAATGAATTCTCTCCTAACGCTGATGTACATTCTGGTGTTGCTCTATAATTTTTTCTTTGGTCACCTTACCATGCTGAAAAGGTTGCAAGGAATTCCATTCATTATGAGCTACGTAACCCTAGTCTCGGATGGAATTTTCAACTGGACATTGCCCCGATACAAATCATCAACACAATTCTAAAATTTGAACGTGATATAATTGACGGTAAACCAATTTCTACTCAAATTTTCAGTAGTTTTAATTTTAATTTAACCCTTTATTTAGTGGAAGACAGTCCCTCAACATCGCTGGAGGTGAGGGCTATGCTGATCTTCTTCTACGTGGCAGACTTCTCGATGATGGCGATTCCAATGTTTGTATTCTTACTACTTGTCGTTGATCCATGCACGCCTCCCTTCCTTCTCTCGTCCTCTGCTGGCTGCCTGGGTATTGCTGGGATATCGCAAGGGCCGAAATTCTTTATAGCCTTGTTCGAGGCATGGGTGGCTCTGCAACTAATCTATTCCGGAGCTTTTTGTATATTGGATGTCATGTTTACCGGAATTGTAGCAATTCTAAGCTACTGCCAGCTACTGGGAAGGTTAATTTTTTACAGTTACATGAATTCTGCATACTGCGACTACAGGGTCAGCGGCCGTATTTTGCTAAAATTATTACTGACCTTAAAAATGTAGTCGACGTCGATGCATTTGTTCCGTTGGTTCAACGTGTTCCCCAAACCTCTGGCTAACTTGCCTACATCGCCGTTTCCACGAATTCATTACTTTTCCTATATCTTCGAGGGTAATCTTCTTCCACTCAACATTAATTTTTTTCCAAAGGCAACCAAAGTTGTATCTCGTGTGGAATGAAACTTCTGTTTCAAAAGTCCAAAACCATAAAAATCTAAACGACTGGCATCAGCGCTCTTCACAGGTATCCAGGAAATCGGAATAATTGAAATCCCTAACTATTGTTTTTATTCGGCTGAATATTGGATCCTTCTTCGACACGTTGTGCGAGGAGGCGGCGTCATGATGTAAACACTTTGTCCCTCTCACCAGGAGAAAGTTTTGGATCTGGTTTTTCCAAAAGTGGTTTAAAACCTTGGCTATATAATAGCCTGCATTTTTCTTCACTTTTTCTGGAACTTTTATCAGAAGAAACACACCACGCCCACTCATAACAGCGACCACCATAAACTTTTTGTAAAACTTCTCTTTTTTTCATGCAAAAATTCCGGGTCGGATTCTGCAGCCTTGCAGGAATATGTTTTTCTTTCTCATTTACCATTTTGAACATAACAAAGGGCCTCATCAAAAATTTAACAAAATTCCCATATTCTTCTCACATAGCTTCTCCTACAACTTCCCAAAGTTGGTCATCCAGTTTTGCTTCAGAGTAGCATTTAGTCTGTGAACCTTGATCATTTTCGTCACCTTTTTTTTGAATCTTGTTCTTATTGGCCGTACTCACGTGTAACTGAGATATTTTCACGACTTTTGCAATTTGGTTTTGGTCGAAAGGTTTTATTTCCTTGTCAGGGCGTCAATTCTTCGAAAAACGGTACGCGACACCTTTTTTTGGGGCTGAAACTCTTTTGGCGATGAGTGTGCTGCAAATTAAGATTTTCTTCCAATTCCAACGGAATTAAGTACATTAGGCACTGTTCTGCGAGAAACACTATCTCCGGATAATTTGAACTTGTCAACAATTTTTGTTTGTGACAATCTTCCTTCGGAAAAGTGCTTCTTGAGATGGTCGACTTCGGGGGACCATCTTCGTCATTTTTGGACCAATTTTGTTGAACTAATTGTTTTACAGATCTCTGACAACTCCAGTTTTACAAAAAAATATATAAGTACGCAAAACTACTTTCGCGCGGAAGTTTGTCAGTTTTTAGGTTGAGCAAAATATGGCCGATAATCCTCGGTACTGAAACATATTTAAAGAATCCACATACTCTGGTAGAATCTTGTGGCAGATAAAATACTTTGTCAGTCTTTTTTGCATTCAATTTCAACTAAATCAATTTCAAAATTTCCCATGTCTCACGTGCCAGTGTAAAGCCATTGATTTGCTAGTATGGTAAAATAATGGTTTAATTTAAATACAGGAGGATTGGAAAATGTTACAACATTTCGGGAAATCTCGCTTGGATAAAACTCTATCGAAATGTTCAGATTTTGGAGAAACATTTGAATGTGTTTCTAATGGTTCGGGTGGTCCCAACGGTGATAATCTGCTCCATAACGCTTCAAGTCATCTCCCAGTACGTCTGCATCAAACTACATGACAAGATAGCAATGCCAGGCTTCCTCGTGTTTCCACTGATGTGCGTGGACGCCTTTGTGGTGAATGTGCTAGTGTACAGTCTGGCTTCTTGGGTAAATAGTACGTCGACTGAGGTCCTTCAATCGTTCGAAAGAAATACGATTCAATTTGGCGGGAGGAAGTCCATTCTGGCGAGAGAGATAAGAGCATGTGGCGTGCTCAAGGTAAAATTTGGCTCGAACTTTATCGAGAACGGGACTCCGTTGGTGATTCAAAACTTCTGCTTGGTCCAGACCCTGAATCTGTTACTGATCAGTGGGGGCAAAATAGGACGATAGAGACGTTAAATATTTATTCAGTTGGATAAATATCCCTATGCTTATGGTGGTTTCTCCTACGGGGAAAACTGCAATTACAGAAAACAATTAAAAGCTGATTTTTTTTGGGTTACTTTTCTCACTGAATAAAAAGGAATGTATAAATATTTTTAATAACCGTTGTGACGCTATAAATAAGAATTTGTTAAGAATTTAACAAAAAAATTAGTACATTAAAATATATTTAAACTATGTGCCGGATATTTCCCATATGTTGCAGGAAACAACGGCTACAATGTGAATTATTTACATTTGTAGTTTACATACATATATCCAATATATGGTCAAAATCTATGATTATTGCGAAAATGAATCATTTATTAACATCTTAAATCGTAAATTAACAGTTTATGTAAATATCTGTAGCCAAGTTAGAGGCAACCCTCCAGCCAGGAAACAATTTCAGAGGAATAAATCAACTTTGTTTTACATTTGTCTCACAGTGGGATTATCGGTTCGTAAAATAATTAGGTCTATCTAGAGTTATATGCAGTATAGGAAAATTAAAATTAATTATGCATGTCGATGGAAAATCATTACAGCAAAAAATGGCTATTATGCAAATATAATGTTATATAACAATGTAAGTATTGAAATCAAATTGGTACATGTACACATTCGGAAATATTTACTAACATGGAAATGTCATACATAAATTTATGTGAAAGTCTTGAGAATTAAAGAATCCGGTTCAATATCGAACTATTCGATTAATCCCACGAATCCGGTCTGACCCAAACATAAAAATAGAAATTTCCAGAAAGAGCGATACAAAAGCTTCACATTTTTCTATTTAGGTAGTCGCAATGTATTTCACTCAGTTTAATAATTAATATTGCAATATTTATTTGTTAAATATTGGCATAAATTTGAACATATGTAGTTCGGAAGGTGTTGCGAATATGAATTAGAGGGCAGTCCATGTTTCGATGAGTTTTACCGCGCTTTATGTTTAAGATACTCAAAATCGAAGAATTCAAATTTATAGCGCAATAGATATTACGGATAATTTTATTAATCATCCGAGTTATGTATTGAGCCAATTTATCTATGCAGCCCAGGTCGTCATGTCACATATAATAAGCAAGTTCATAGTCTTCTTGAACCATTTCAGTAATTCATTTCAGTCATATGTACATACATATGTACATAATTTGATGCTACTTATTATGTTCGTCATAAAAATGAGCTGGGTTGGCGTAAATATTATTCTTGTAATTTCATGTCATCATCATATGACAAATTTATGTATATTATTTAATACAATTTTCATAGTCATGCTACACTAAAGTTAAATATATTTATTCAGCTTGAAGATGATTCATGATGTCATAAATTATCTTGACCTTTGATGTTTAATTTAAGATATCAGTGGTGATGTTTGTCGTGCTTGTGCCTTTCCTTATGCAAGGAAAGCATACATCTGTGGCGTGATTATTATAAAAGCAAATATGTGTATGAGTCATCCATTACAGGGTAGTGTGCATAATCATAGATCGGCATGGTCGCGCGACCATTATTGGCAATAATGGTGCGAGCTACATATGTACAGTGTCGGACAGATGTCTACGTCCACATAGTCGCGTCAATTTCATTTTCAAATTGTCACTGAACTACTGAACCAATTTTCATCATTGATATATCAAATTCTCACAAATTTAACGTAATTTCATAGCACATTATTAGTTTTCCGCTAAAAAATTTATTTTAGGCCAGAGATGTATTTTAATTCAAAATGAAAACAATTGGATGGACAAAAGTCAACGTCCAGTCAGAGAAAACATTAAAAAAAACTGTAATTTATAAGGAATGTTATAACAATTAATTTTTAATATTTGGTTGGGCCTCCGTTCGCTTTAAGGACGGATTCAAGGCGTCGAGTCATAGAGTTTACCAAATTCTTGGTCACATCTTCAGAAATGGTTTCCCAAACTTCAAGAATTCTGGATTTTAGGCCCGGAATTCCTGAAAAAGATTGTTTTCTTATTTCTCTTTCAATGTGGTCCCACAGATGCTCAATGGGATTCAAGTCTGGAGATTGGGGAGGCCATTCTAGCTTCGAAATTTTTTTTTCTTGAAGTATTCCATGGTGGACTTGGCAGAGTGTTTCGGATCGTTGTCTTGTTGGAAGACAAATCGTCGTCCAAGTCCAAGTTTTCGAACAGATTCCTGGATATTACGGTCGAGTATTCCCTGGTACTTTTATTGGTCCATAATTCCGTCAACAAATTCCATTTTTCCTGCCCCACTTGAAGCCATGCATCCCCACCCCATTACCGACCCGCCGCCGTGCTTAACTGTGGGGTTGAGATTTTTTGGATTCAATGCTTCTTTTGGATATCTCCACACTCTACGACGCCCATCTGACCCAAAGACATTGAACTTTGACTCGTCAGTCCATAAAATACTGTCCCAGAATGTTTGTGGCTTGGAAATGTGGTCTCTGGCAAACTTCACTCGTTTGGTTGCATTCCTCGGTACAATAAGAGGCTTCCGGACTGCTCTGTGGGATTTCAAATTTCCCTTGTTCAGTGTTCTTTGGATGGTCCTAGGACTAACTTGTTTGTCGAACATCTCCTTGATCTCGGTAGATAGCTTTGGAGCACTAAGTGAGGGTGTAACGTTGACTTTGTTGAGCACGTGGCGTACTTCTCGGTGAGCCAAAATCGGTTTTCGACCACTTCTGACCTTGTTTTGGACTGAACCATTAGCTCTAAAGTTCTTAATGATTGTCTGGATGGTTGTCCTTGCTAATTTATACTTGGTCCCTATTTGTCTCTGCGACAGCCCCCCTTTTTGTCCACCCTTCCAGTCCTGAATGACAAGATCTCGAATAGCGATAGGAATTTCCTTGCGTGTCGACGCCATCATATTTTTCTGGAAGAAAATTATTTAAAAATTAATGCGGCATATGTTATTGATAGATTTATTAAGTTACCTGATTTTATAAATTGGAGAGATTTTTGTTGTTGACAATTAAAGTGAAGTGGACGTAGACTTTTGTCCGCTCAAATTTCATCCTCTCTCGCTCTGCACTATGATTCTCAGTTTTCCCAGAATTTTCAGAAATAACTCATGTTTTATGAAATTACGATAAATTTGTGAGAATTAGATATATCAATGATGAAAATTGGTTCAGTAGTTCAGTGACAATTTGAAAATGAAATTGACGCGACTATGTGGACGTAGAGATCTGTCCGACACTGTATTAGTCAATGGTTGCTAAAAAATTGGTCACTGTAATTAGGCGTTGGTCAATGGTCGCAAAAAATTGGTCACTGTAATTAGGCGTTGATCAATAGTCGATGATATGCCGATCTCTGATCTTTTAGTCAATAAAGCCACAAAGAGTATTCCAGAATATAAATAATAACAATTCTACAGAACTGAAAGTCAGTCGACGTGCACCAGAACTAGGCCAAGTAACCAGACTGGTTTGAACTACTTATAAAAAAATCAAACCTTTCGTAAGTTTTTAAAGATATTGTTCATCTTCCTGTACATGTTTTCTTTCTTGATTTTATAACAAATCATAATTATTCGAAATCAGGACAGCAAGTACAATTTGAGGCCCCACAGACACTCAAAAAATACAGTTACATATTTCTGTAAGATAAATCCTTAAATAATTTCTCCTTTGGGGACCTTCTCCACTAAAAAAATGGAAAAACAAATTATAATCTTGTTCATGATCCTGGGAATTTTCCATATCGGTAAAATATTTTAAACCAAAGTTCCAAAACTAAACAAAAATTCATCCAAGTTAAATATTATCAGGAAAATTAATTATAAAATTAACTCCTTCTTTTCTAGGGTCTGATGCCGCATGCGACTCGGGTTTATGTGACCAACTTTGCGAAAATTTTAAACTAAACGGCGCCTGCGATTCGGAGGGACGATGCGAGTGTACCTTCCCCCAAAAATGTAGCGGAATGGAGGTGGCGTGTGACGTGGCGTGCAAAGCTTTGGATATGGACGGTGAATGTGATGACAATGATAATTGCGTGTGCAAAGCAACTCCGGAATTCTGTAACCCATTAGACTGCTATGAATCCTGCCTATCTGATCCAAGGGCAATTGGGTGCATCTTAGTGGTCCCAGATTGGTGCGTATCGTATGGACCGTTCAAATTCTGTGGTTGTATTTGCTACAGGTATGGACGGGGAGGGTATCTTGGGCAGAATTATAATGTCACAAAATTTGTCAACGATATTTAATTTGGGATTTGTCATGTCATTGCATATTTGCTATTAGAATTATTTCAAACAAAATTAATTATAAGTATAATCAGGCTATAAATAAATATTTGTCTACTTTAACTTTAATTTCATGACCGTATGTGTAATTTTATGTTGAATGTGGTAAAATACATGATTTCCAAATTCAATATACACCAATAAACTGACTGACTAGGTGTACTTTTTCATGTTATTTGAAATATGAGTTATAATTTAACTTTTTGCATGCATCATGATGTGGTTGGATGGCAAAGTGCAAAAAATTTTCTGCGAAACCCATTTGCGAATATTTTATCAGCCTAAAAGATTGTGAAATGGGCGTGGAAATAGTGGAGATGGGAGCGGTTCATGCAACGCATTCGTCATTGTCACTCGATCACTAACTCGATTGCGATGTGGATTGGTGAAACAGAGGCCACAGTGAGAACTTTATTTGCTTAAATCTCACTAACCGATTTTCGGCGATATAGGATTTCAATGCTGAGTAAACTCTGTCTCTTGCGAATGCGTCATAATAAGCAAATAAAGTGAACCACGACAATAATTCTACAGCATGTGCAAATTTACTTAAAAAAAATATATAAAAAAATGGTACAAATACTTGTATAACTAGTTGGACGTCGAGCCCAAAGTGTGAATTTATGAAGAAATCTTTATGAAAATATTTTCGAGGTTGATAATACATACATAAATGTCCGACGTATACATACTTATTATGACTCCTAAAATGTGAAAAAAAATCGCCTACCAGATAAAAACCCACAGTTTCACATTATCAAAATATTTATTCAATACAGTAAACTATAAAAATTGTAAACTTTTTTTGAACAAAAATTGGACATGATTATCCAATCAATAATAAATAATAAAGTGAGTCAAATCAAACTAATCAATTATAAGTGAAATTTAGTATCAATATCAGCGTAATATGTATTACCGCTATATATGTATTGTGACATTACCAGACAGGTGGTGGAGTTTCAACAAAAACTATGGAATCTGGAATGGTAGATACACGATTTCCCCCATTGCCCCACCCCCCATAATTGCCCTGTCCATAATAGGACCCAGCTGTTGGATAACTACCCTGATATCCAAACCAATTACGTCTGGGAGGATTGCTAAAACATGTAAAATTTTAAAAAAATAAGAAGAGTTTTTATAGAAAATTAAATTAAAGTTCACTTATTTTTACCATCCACCATAAATTATGAATGGGAAGGATTGTCGAGATTTCCTCTTGTTTGGCGTCAAAAATTGTGGGGGAGGATTACTTTTGGATGGATGTTTCACAAGATCGGCATCCTAACATTGAAAAAATATGTATATGATTGATTATCCATCAATCATTTTTTATTTCAAGAACAATTTTTAGTCTTGGAGTATTATTTTTTAATTAAAATGCACTAGCAGGAAAAATATGCTATCACAACGTCTAAAAATGCAAAAATTCCCTTGGAAACATTTGTTGGTTATTTTCACAAACGATTTCATTATGATGATGCAGTGATTTCGCACCTCTGCAATGTCATTATTATTGTAATTATTTCATTCAAACCATCTTCAAAGGCCTTACGAAGTTGCTTAAAGTAAGTTTTCTACTATTAGAATTGCTGTCTTTTTGAAATAATTTTTTTTATATGTGATTTACTAGTGAATAGGGAAAGTCAAGTATTTTAAAATTTACATTATCCGTCTCAACCGGTAAAGCGTGACCAATCCCGATCAATGTTCCCAGTAAACAGAACGTCTAAGGAATAAAATGTGTATTTATTGCTTGACAAATTTGGAATTATTTAATTAAATGAATTTTTATAATTACCAACACTATTTGTACATGCGACGTTATATTCTTGGAATTCATATTGTATGGAAATTTTAGATACCAGAAATTTCAAATTATTAAAATATGTAGATAACAATTCAATAAAACAAATTTGAACCTTTGAAATTGTTAAATGCAAAAGTTTTTTGGAACTGTATTTTTATATACGTTGTAGTTCCACTGTCACTGATAATACTGACGCAGATAATAAAATCAGAGCTAAATAAATAAGCGATTTTTATATAGAGAAATATCTCACAAACTGGTCCACCAAGCTTAGGTCATCTTCATCTATTTTATTATAGGTGGGACAATTCATACATATGTACAACCGGGATATTAAATAATTTCATTGGCTTCGGGTTGTGTAAGGTAAATAATTAAACCTCTTAAACCTCCTAAATAATTCAGTGTAACTGTCTACATCATAAAAACTGTCGTGTAAATAATCGTAATAAAACAATTTCACGTACATACAGGGTGGTTTTTAAGCCAGGCTACAATGGAAATTTTTCTATAGAAAAATTTAGAATATTTCCATTAGTTCCCAAAGTTTTGCCCCTGAAAAGATACATTTAGTCGTATTCAAGAACAAAATGTATAAGACAAAAATTTTCCTTGTCAATTTAAACAGTTTTTTGTCAGTCGTCATAATATGGCAGTACCGCGGCAGTTGACCTCGGAAGAGAGAATCTGGGTCAATGGTGAATTTGTTACGACAAACGGTGCTATTGCACGAATGATTCGTTACTGGTCATTTTTCACTGCACGAACAAATGTTTACGGGACAAAGAAGAGGTTTCGTACAGGATCGATTCTGGACAAAAAAGAACAGGTAGACCGAAGTCCGTAGTGACTGAGTAAAACTCTGATATGATCCAGATACCTATTCATTAACATGGACCTAACAATTTCCACAAGAAAATTATCTCAACTGACAGCGATAGGCAAAAGTTCGTGCGTAAAAATCATGAAGAAAGGGTTAAAGATGTAGCCTTACATTCTTAGAGTAATGCAGGCTTTAAATGCCAACGATCCTCAGTTAAGGTACGATTATTGCATGTTTTTTTTTCTTATGAAAGTTGATCAACATTTGTAAAAATTTTCTGTGGCCGAATTTCAAAATAACCCACAACTTCACTCTTTGACTTGGTCGTCGGATGAAGCATAATTTCATTTAAACGGAATGATTAATCGTCACAATTTGGGAAAAAACCGAATTTTGGAAAAACTAATTTTGGAAATGTATCTTTTCAGGGGCAAAACTTTGGTAACTAATAGAAATATACTAGATTTTCCGATAGAAAAATTTCCATTTTAGCGCGACTTAAAAACCACCTGTATATGACGTTGGCATCCGCTACCAAGCTTGCTAACTTATGTACATTGCTTGATTTAAATCATGATTTTAGTGGTTTTAATAAAAGCAATTACGTAAGTGATATTGTTTTATTACGGTTATGTACACGACAATTTTTATGATATGGACAGTTAGACTGAAGGAAGAGGTGATGAGTACCTCACACAATGTATGTCTGGTACCCGGAGCCGATGAAATTACTATTCCCGTTGTATGTATGAATGGTCCCAGCAATAATAAAATTAGATGGAGATGACCTAAACTGGGTGGACAAGTTTGTGAGATATTTTTCCTTATATAAATCGCTTATTAATTTGGCTCTGATTTTATTATCATATGGAAATATATATGTCTGTATATGTATGTAGCATGACGTCTTTATATTTTATTAGGCTAGCATTTCAGCATTTGATGTAACAGGCTTATTGTAAAATCCTTGCGATATATTTTTATTGAGGAAATTAATTCCTCCTGTTGGATAGGGATGGATTAAAATAGAGCTTTTACGAAATTTTATAACCAGAGGTCGACGCCGACCAATTTTCGGAGGCGCCGGCCACAATTTTTGGTGATTTATCGCCGGCGGCGGCGCCTAAACTGCTACCGGCGCGAGATCGGCGGCATCGACCTCTGTTTATAATCTTATTGCGTTCGTTTTGCATGGCTATGGCTACATATATATTTATTATCCATTCACAAAGAGTTGAGCCTTTGTAGATTTTGTGAAACTATGCCATTTTCGTCACAAATTTCGTAATCAGCATTATGAGACAGGAGGTTCTAAAAGTCTGTCATGGCTCAACTCTTTGGAGAATATATTCTCCAATTAATGCCTCTGTTGCTTAAAGTATTGATTTTCGTCATTAGATAATTCATATATTTTGTCCGTTTTCAAACACTTACTTATATTTTCGGTTTATTCACTCGCTACCTGCTGCTAACTTACCACAGTCAACAGGAAGTCCGATTTGGAAACAAAATACTCCTTTTTATAAAAAGGTAGATATTTCTTTAATCAAAATAGTTTTTATTTGAAATTTTTTGTGTGAACAATTATAAATTCTAGTCTAATTTAAAATGTAGAGCTATATAGAGCCACGTAAAACCAAATACTAATTGGATTTATCCATCTATATACAGGTCAACTGTGAGTTTTCGCTACATCGCCCAGTGAATGAATTTAATTTCCTAAATACTTGGACCAATCTTGCGCCATCCATCCTAGAACGGGCGAGGTACATACATACATACATATTTACATATATACAATATAATTGTATAACATGCAATATAAATTACATATGTATGCGGTATAATTGTGTGTATGTACATCATGATGATAATTTAATTTGTAAGTTGTATAAATTATTAGAGATTTTGAATTGTGATAAATTTCAATTGTATTTAAATTATTACAAAAATTGATCCAAAAATGTGCTGATTTCATTTCCAAATTGTTAAAACCATCGTTACCGTGCGCGAAAAGGAACAACAGCTGCCGGAGTAGAACTATTTCCGGAAAACACCAAAAATTATAACAATCGGGTTAAGCTTGACACTGCCTTGTTACAATCTGCAACCGAAACCAGGAACAAGAATGTAACAGAACGGTGATGATATTGTTACCTTAGTTGATGGAAATGATTCCGCTGCTGTGAGAACGAAAATCATATCCACACGGAATCAATTTATTTCCTACCCGGTTAAGTCGCATAGTGACACCGCGTGGAATTGATTTGGTGATGATTTTTCTAAGAGTGTATACAGAAAAAAACCTCAAATGGACTAATATTGAAGCCTAACTCATACCAATACAAATACTTCTACACATTGAATATCTACATATTTATGTATGTACATAAGTGTTATCTCCCTTTTTCACTGTTTCGTTGAAAACATGTGCATATTAGCAAAAATATACTAGTACAAACACATACATATGCACGTAAACACATGCCTGCTTATGTACAAATATTTTCTTCAAAAATATATAACGGTAAATTTCATTATAAACTAAAGAAGATATCATCATTTGTTTTTTACTGAAGTGTTTTGTATCAAATCTTCCTCCACAGTTTTGAAAACTCTTAGTTTTTTCATGCAGAAAGTTCACTTACAAGGGCTGGCAGAACGTCGAGATACCAAAATCATGCAAATCCAAAGCCGATTAAACTTCTGAGTTATGCATGTTTTGTTTGCATTTTTTGCAACTACCGATATTTCATACGCTCGTACATATGTATGTATTCTGTAATCGTATATGTACATACATGTACATATAATCATGCTCGCATACCGACATTTATTTAATATGGGAGAAAGCCATTTTGGTATCATATACATGCATTTGTGTATCCATAATGTGCATTTCGACCGTTAATGGACCCTACGGAAAGCATGTTGCAGAAAGTAAAGTAATTAATTCTCACGAAAATATTCAATATGCTTCGACACGTGTCCGTAAGTACAGAACTTGGTGAACTAAATAATACTTAAATCAATGACATCCTTAGTGCATGTCCACATAACTAACTCCAACCTACACACACATTTCGACAACGCCAACAAAAGCATGGGCGAGATACGACTAATACTGTTTATGTGGATGACATTGGCCTTATGTGCATATGCAATAAGAGAGCTATGCATTTGGCGAGATGGGTTTGGTTCGTGTTTTGTCATTCATTTGGGTAACCAAGTTCGTAATTTTTTGCAGACTCACCTTGTATCTGAACCAGAGTTCGCGAATTGTGCATCAGCACCACTAGTATTCTCTCTTTCTCGTCCAGACTTGTCCAAACTTGTTTCGCACAGAGTGAGAGACCAATTCACTCCACATTTTGCGAAACGTCACATATTTACTGGCTCTTGTAACCGAGTTGGTTTCATTCATATAAAAGTGCATCGACTCCACCAATGCAGGCACACTTGTTTTTTGGAAGCAGGAAGGGAAAGATTCTCCATGAAATAGTAAAACAACATTGGTTTTCTAACGCAGCTATATCACCCGGAAATAAATATGTGGACGATTAAAGGTATGTACGGGTTTGCAACAAATTTTTGCATTTCTTTATTCCCAATTTTGCAAATCGAATATCAGGAGTAAGCATTTTTTTCTCAGTTAGTATTTGTCACTTACTGTGTAAGCTATTTTTAAAATATCAATTTCTCTCAAATTTTACCAAAAAACAAAATAAAAATATGTACAAGTTATCAAGTTTTCTTTAGTATTTCTCTCAACTTTTCCATATACTTAATTTTGACTGCCCTCTATTCTGAATATAAGCTATTCTGATCATAAAAAAAATCACCAGTTCCAATAAATGTACTGTTTCTCAATTATATTTTGTTCATTTTAGATCCAAACTTATCCACAAGCATGGAGAAAGTTTACCCGGTGGATAAAATTCTTGAAAATATTGACGATAAAGTTCTCACCGAAGATAACCCACCCACACCAATTCATCCCCATGACACACAAGTCATCAGCCCAGCCGACCCACCAACCAGCACTGAAGATAACCCACAAGTCGCCGAAATGGACATAAGTCCTCCCACCTCGCCTGCCTCAGAGCACGATAAAATCCCAGTATTCGACCCACCCACTCCACAAGCTAAGAGCCCCATCACTCTTAAAAAACTTTTCCCCTCCTCAAAATCCCCACTTGGCAAGAGATATCGCACCGTGAGCAAGAAGTGTACAGGAGTAGTGACAAGTTCTCACCTCCTGGGAAACATTATTCAGCTTTTGGAGTCCCAATTTTCCTGCAGTATCAGCTTCAAACGGTTGCGACGTCGTTCCCTCGTCTTGATCCGTTCCGATTTTCCGTCCCCAATTTATAATGGGGTTAAGTTCGAGTAAAATATTGAAAATATCTCACAAAAATAGATCCGTAGCGTTTTTCCATGATTCCAAAGGCGGGTTCTATCAGGGCTGCATCGTCCAAGTAGTTGTACCTACCTTGCAAAATATCAAGAGCGATAGGTTCAATTTTTTCTTTTTGAAACTTTTTCCCCAGGATTTCAAAAGTTTCGCGGTCTTCCAGAGAAATTGAAGTCGATTCCAATTCAGCCGCAATGATGGCTCGCACATCGGAACTTTGTCCATGGCGACCTTTTCTTCCTATGCCGGCGATGGTTTTATTATCCGCGGCTAAATCTCGGAGGGTTTGAATGCTCTGAGTTAATCCTGGACTGCTTAATGTGTTTGTCAGGTTGGACCGATAGATGGCGCTGACAACGAGACAATATAGTAACCAGATGGCGTAGATAAATCGAATTTGGCGTCTGGGCTCGGCAGATTGTTCGAGAAATGGTCGTACCATTAAGACAAATATGGAGAGGACTGGGGTAGATTGAGATTGATGTCGGCCATTATATATTTTAGAGGATAGACGGTACTGCAGAATGATACAGGTGCCTATAATGCAACCAAGAAGGACTGATGCGACAAGGATGCTCCAACCAACCGGTGAAACTAGAGATGCAAAATATCCTGCGAAAAACTCTTGCTGTACTGTAACAAATTTTATACGAAATTGTTCCCTCGAGTGGATCAGTTCGGCTATTCCGGATTTTTCAAGTTGTTGGGTGTACGAGGATATCCCGAACTCGATATGTCGCTGAGATTTGTCAAGTGGGAAACGTCTAATACAACAAGCATCAGCAGATAAGTTGAGGTGTTCCAGTATAATTTTTACCACCATTTGGTGCCGATTCTTAACCAGTCTCGATCTCACGTAATTGTTACTGGATACTTTGTAGTAGTCGCGTAGAACTCCTTGTGACGACCGGAAGTAAGCGTCTAACTTGTAGAAGAATGGAATTCTACGATATGAAGTGAAGATTTCGTGTCCAAAAAGAAAACATGTTTCTTCTTTGGTTTGTTTGATAACAAGATGATCGTTTTTATCAGGGACGAGTTCCACTAAGCGGAATGGTAAACCTAGTGCCAGATTCGACTTGAGGTTTGAAGATGTGAAGCCAATAAAGATATACAAAGTTGGGGAAGATATTCTCAAACTTAATATAATTTTTGGAAATTTTTGGAATTTCAATGATATTTCGTTCAATATTACGATGGGACACGTGTCGTGAGGAAAATGGTTTCCGGATGAAAATAAATTCAGATCAGGTTTATGTGTATTTGTTGTGTATACTTTGAAATCTGGATATAAATCAGTTATGCATAGTGTACTTTGTGGTAAAATGGTGGTAAAAAGTATGGATAAACATAAAGTAAGATATTTTGCAGTCATTTTTCCTTCCCCAAACTGAGGCTCAAATAAACTTTTTTGCAGGTGAATACATAGTCCGTCTAAACATGCCTACGTGCCTAAATGTCTTTGTACAAACATATGCGCATATACAAATTGTCAAGTTCCCGAGTTTTTTGGGTGAAATTATTCTTTAATGAGTCCTCATTGGGCAATTTGGCGGTGCTAATTAAGGTAAAGTTCAAATTTAAATGGTACTAAGGTAATACTTATGTCGGTTCTTGTAACTCTAAGCTTCCGATTGATATGATATTAACACATGAAGTTGGACAAGTCTGATTACGGAAGTACTTACATACCTATGTGCAAATATTTGAGAACTCTATACTTTTATTATGTACATATGTATGTACGACTCAACTGCACTGGTCCTCTCGGACACAATACAAACGTAATATAAGCTTAAATATATTTTAGCAAGGAAACACGTTATTATAATAACGTGTCTCCTTGCAGGTACATGTGTACTTTCTTCAAATTTAAAATGGAAAACTGGTTTTCGCCTCAATAATTAAACCAACTATTTAATTGGAGTCGACAAAGAATTTAAAGAAAATAATGCAATGTGATATTGTGTAATTTAGTATCATACATAAGTTTGACGATCTACTTGTGAAAAAATTGTTTAAAAATTTTCGGTGTTAAATCATCATATTATTCTATATGATCAGCTAAATTGTACTTCGGTACTTCGTAAAATTTGGTCATCTAAAATGGATCTTAGTTTTTCTCGACTCAAGTTTCGTAGTTACAAACAAAAGATGCAATTACTTGCAAAAGTAGTATGTAATATATTCATGTACATAAATACCATAAAAACCCTACAGTCATATTGGTATACACTTCGTGTTGATTTGGTAATTTTAATTTCTGGCAGGGTTGGTAATGCTTTATCTGTATTGTAAATTTCTCATTAAGTTTTAAAACAGTACTTTATACTACGATCAGTAATAAATGGGATATGAGCTTTCATAAAGTGCACATACATACATTGCAATGTATTTATGCACATATTGTACACACATAAAACACATATCCATGCAAATTTATGAATATTATACTTAAATAAATGTGGATGATGCTATATAAAATTTACGTATTCACAATTACGGTACTCCAATTGCATTGAAGAAGAATTTAAGCACTACTCTATCTTCTTCCTGTTCTCCGTGTGCTGATCAGAAGCAGGTTGAGAGTTTGGTTCAGGCAGAAGTTCTGAATGGCTAGTGGGGTACGTGGGGAATGAATATCGAAAATAGGTAAGAGTATTTGCACTATGTACATATTTATGCTTCCAATCACAGATTGTGTCGGCCTCTGGAGATATTTATGGTGTTATGAAAGACGGAAATTGATAGTTATATAAGTACTTCAACAATTTCGGTCTAGTTGCATTTTGAATCTTACAAAATACGACAAGTGACACTTGTCGTGAATTTGGGAGTTAATAATCGACATTTTGAATCTTATTCGTGCATTAAGCTCGTTTAGATGTTATTTAACAGCAGAAACACTGGTGAGAGGATATAGTTCAACTGCTTATATAGCTTTTATTGCAACTAACCTTGATTGCAAGTATTTTTATTGGTTTCAAACAATAGTTACCCCCACAAATAACCGACCAGGATTTGCTCCTGTATGATATGAAATATTATTATGGTTAACAATACTCCTAAACATTTACATAATCCACTTTATTATAATATTGGGACGTCCCTGAGCTCGGTATTAGTCACACCTCAGATTGAATTTCCATAACAATTGGCTTGGCCAGCATAGGTACATTGTGGGTAATCATCTCCACCACTGTTGTGACCACTGTTGTGACCACTGTTGTGACCACGGTTGTAACCTCGGTTATATCCACCTGCATCAGAAAAAGACGAAAAAACCTGACGTATATTCTCTTAATTATTATTCAACTGTAAATCTCTCACCCCTAGCATAACCATAACCACCACCGCGGCCATAACTGCGACAGTAAGGATTATTATTTGCATTCCAAAAACCGTTGTATTGGCATCCTGGCGAGAAATTATAGCCATAATTACAGCATCGAGGTGTCCAATTTCCTCCCCTCCCGTACCCGTATTGCCGCTTGTTGCGAACTGAAATTGTGTACTTAGAATTATAAAGATCTATAGGCTCGTAAGACGGAAATCATTATGTACTAATAATGCTAGGAGCAAATATATTGAGGATATTCATAATTTCTTCGTAACGTTAGTATTCTTCGTACAGTAAATAAGTTATGAGATTTTGTTAGCGTCGTTAGATTTTGACATCGAAAATCGCGTTACTATCTACGCTTACGATTTTTATCAACAATGTATGAAGTGCAACTCTCCGATTTGGTGGAAATTTTAAAATTGGGTAGTCCAAGTCAATTCTACCAGCATTTATTGAATCAGTTTGTGCCATGGCTGGAATTTGTCAAAATATCCAAGGTAAAACTTCAAGAGCGGGCATTTTTTTCCAAACGGTGGAAGAAAGCTCCACTTCTATTCTTTTTAGATGAAAAAATGGCCAGTTTTTCAATTTGACCTAAAATATTTTGACAAATTCCAACCATCGCACAAACTGCCCCAAGAAACGTTAGTTGTATTGACTTGAACCACTCAATTTTAAAAGTTCAATCAAATCTGAGAGTTGCACTTCACACCATTGCATTGTTAACTTGACCCCTTTTCGTAAACCATTTTTCGATACTATGTATACGAAGAAATAATGAATACCCTCATTGTAGAATGTAATATTACATAGTAATATAATATTAATCAGTTAAATACTTGACGCACCATCGTGCAAGTTACCCACGAATGAATTAATTTCATTCGGAGGGGAATTATCACCAAGAAATTCGAGAGAAGGGGATTCATCGCGTTCTTCCGCGAATGTTGCCACTGCGAGGAAACAAAGTACGACAGTCGCGATATCGGATTTCATCCTGGTGCGTGTGTTTGAAATCTGGTCGTTCGGTTAAATCTAAATATTTAAGAATGACTAGTTCAATGGCAAACATTGTGTCTTTTATATTCAGACTGTCTCACCAGTCATGCTAAGATTTTACCTATATTATTTTAAGATTTTATCTGTTTTATGTATAGCTTGGGAGTAAATTACGTCAATATTATATGTTCAACCCATTGGTGTTATTTTTTTAGTGATGGAATTGAATCGTCATCAGACCTTTTTTATTGCAGTTTTGCATGCTATTTATAAATATTAATATGTATGTATTAATATTAATATGTGTATTAAATCCGGGTAAAAATGCACACTTAAGTATGATACATAAGACTCCTACTATTATTACACTATATTATCATTATTACATTATTACGCTCTTACATATTATGGATCGTATGTAAAAAATTGCTAAAAAAAATTATTTCTGCATTGTAAAAGAAATTTATGCAAAGTCATATTGACGTTCGTTTCGTCAAGCTCGCAATTTCTTATACACACATCACGTCAAGCGAGAGGACAAATGAATGTTTTTTTCATATGATTTAAAAAAGGGTGAATTATTAATTGAAAGTATTTATAAATCAAGCATGGCCGGTTGCATAAACTAATTTGACTGACGGCTAGATTGAAAAGCGTATAGTTAGTCAAACTAAACTAGCAGTTTAAGCTCAAATACATAATATACAAATACCTATGTATTACTGTGTACTGTAATTCTAGCGATGCGTATGTAGACATATGTATGTATGTATGTGTTTGCATGCAAATGTGTACATACATACATACATGTATAACCAATCAGATCAAAACGGGGACAATTTTCGTTCAAGCAATGTTCTACTAGAATGGTTGAATTATTCAATTTGCTTGATATATATGAATCTTATGAGGTTATGATGCAATAATGTTATATGTACCGAGTTTTAGTATATTTTTGTCCTTATATGTATGACATGAATATTACCTTGAGGTGTAAAGTCCCATGTAAATTATTGGGGTGCCTCATTGAAATAAATAAATAAATCAATCAATCAAGCTAAACTATTCTTTTGTGAAAATTCCTCAAATACTATCTAGCAACAAAATATAAAGAATTAGAGAAAAAATATTCATGGAGAATAAATTCTCAATGATTTCATCATACAGATGTCAGGTATGTAAGAGTACATATGTCGCTTATTACTTTTACTTGTATGTATGTATTTATTTATAGTTGATTAACAATCGTGTATCAACATTGCATGAAAGGAGACCGTTGAAACTAATTTTTTTATCACCACCAAACCCGCACTACTGACTGACTGCTGGCAACTGTCAGTCGAGCACAAAATTCTCAGTCCGTGTTCATCGCGAGTGTTCACCGTGGGCTTTTAATATCTGAGCACCCCGTTGGACGCGTGTTTTTCTGTACAAAAACACTAATTTCTCCGAAACGACTACATGTAGGACCATCATTTTTTTTCCTCGTGTAGTACAGTGATATGAGAGTATCCCAGCAAAAAATGGTGCATATCCAATTAATATTGGAAGAGAGGTGAGGGAACGCCCAAATTTTTCGAAAATTTGGAGTTGCCTGGAACACGGTCAAATTGTGCGAAAACCGCAAAAGCCTGGAAATCCAACCAATGTGGGATAGATCGCCAGTATAGTCGGCCACAAGAAATGCACAAATTACAAAGAATTAAAAATCCAAAACTGGTGGATCGGTGAGAAAAAGTGAAAAATTATTAAATCAGTAAAAACTGTGTGTGTAGAAATCGAACGAGATAAGTACACGGGCGGTATAGTGATACGTTACGGGATAACCATGGGGACAACCTGTCTATAAGAGACCTGTGAAACCACGCCTCAGCCAACAGAACATTCAACAAGGTGTGAAATTGGGTGAAATATGAGAGAAAAACGGCTATTTGAAGCAGCAAAAACGTAGTCACGAGAAACTATCTCATACTCTCCGTACTGATGAGCTTGAACTAAGGACTTGCCATCAGGTAACCCACACAATTATAGATATTATGCAGGAGACCCGAAGAAAATTCCTCCAAAAATGCGTCCAAAACATGGACTCAAACTAATGGTACCCGCAGGATTCTGCGCTCAAAGGGTCACAAAGCTTGATTTGTGGAAGATGGAACAGTCCACTCGCAATTCTGCCGAGACAAAATCCGTGTCATATGCTTTCAGAGCATTGATAACCAAGGATTATTCCCCAATAAAAGAAAAGTCAGATTTCAGCAAGACGGCGCTCCAGCACACCTTGCAAACATTGTCGGTACTGTTTTGGATGACCTTCGTTCCCTCGTATGGTGGGAACGGGTGTCGCCAAGAAATTCACCCAAATTGAATCCAGTCGACAGATTTTGATGTCAGCTAAAGGATTTCGCGTATTAACCTCCATACCCTACTACAAAACCCAAATTATTAAAAAGATTTCAATAAGAATGCTAAAAAATTTCAACGACCATCTTGTAAAATTTGGCCTAGCCCTTCTAGAAACACGTTGATGATATGATTGGCGCATTGGATGGACTCGCTACATATTGATATATTACTGTATGAAAATTTACTTAATTCTATCGAGTCAATAAAAAGTTATTCTTATTTGAGATATGAGGTTCATATCTGCTCAGATATTAAAAGTCCACCGTGTATATGTATAGCAATTCCAATTCATAAATGTGTAGATATTTAACTAGTTTTTTTTTAATATTCTTCGAACGTTACTCGTAGAAGCATTGGTTGAGTTAGTAGGTAGTGATATCTATGTAAATACGTGCTTATTTATGTATACATAATTCCGATGAAACTGGGATATATTTTTTTTGTAATGCATTGTCACAAATGTGGAATGATGGTCTAATTTTAAACATAAGTTTCATACATAATTGTTCGCTTTTATCACATTTTTTCACTTTTTGCAAACAAATTTACATAATAATCATGCCTATTCCATGCGGTATTCGGGGTTGATATCGTGACAGCACATTAGTGAATTGATTGATCACGAATTCCACCTTTTTTAACAAAGATAACAACGATGCCCAATTTAATTTATCATCCATCCATCACGTTTAATCTTAACCTTGTCAACAGTTATGCATGTATGTATATAAACCGAGTTTAACTAAATTTTGCATAACTTACATCCCCATGACAACACTGAGCCCATTCAATTCCTGACATTTGAGAAGACCACACCTTAAATAATTTCACATAACAATTTGTATATTTCGTAATGCAGCAGATTTTTGTAATCGCGGCCTTAATTACGATCACGGCTGCGGGATCGCCATGGATTCCTGAACCGCAAGAGCAGCTAGATTGGATGCCCTGGTTATGGCTGGACAGACATCAGGAGTTTGTAGATAATAGCCAACTCCATGGTTCTAACTTGTCCGTAATTTTCTTTGGGGACTCCATCACCGAGGCGTGGAATTATACGGGGCGGTCCGTGTGGGATGCGAGGTATTAAAATCGTGTCAATTTTGAAATTTGAGTGACCGCTTCCTGTTGAAAATTACATAATTTTAATACATAATTTTAAATACGCAAGATATGCTCCTCTGGGTGCGGCGAATTATGGGATTGGCGCCGACCGCGTGGAGCACGTGCTGTGGAGAATTATTAACGGGGAGGTGGACAATGTATCGCCGAAACTTTGTGTTGTAAAAATTGGTGAGAGGTTTTTTAGTTTTTGAGGTTCGAGATTATGCTGTGTTAATGAAGTTCACGATATAATTATGATAAGATAACAAGTAAAATCTGACTTAATTTATGTAGGCAGAGTTTTCCGTTATTTTTTGTTTGACTCAATTTTTATAAAGTAATTTAATTTAATTTCAGGGACAAATAACATTTGGGGCAATACGAACTTTGACATCGCCCGCGGGGTTGCCGCTATCGTGTCAGAGTTGAGAAGTCGACTTCCCACCACGAAAATCCTCCTCCTCGGTGTCCTCCCGCGCCACAATGTGCAAACCATGGTGCACGTGGACCAGGTGAACGAGCATCTTGGAATCCTCGACAATGGCGGCACGGTTCGATTTCTGAACATGCGCGACACCTACTACGTAGGCGATGGCGTCTTTAATACCAATTTGTTCGACCCGGACATGATCCATTTGTCTGGAGAGGGGTACACCGCCTGGAATCAGTCGATGGATGCTCTTTTCACGGAAATGTGGAACTCTACTTAATAAACTTACAAGATTTTGTTTGTTCATTGATTATTTAAAAAATATATGATATAAAAAATAAATGAGTTTTATGAAGTTTGTTACATTTTCCGGATTTAAATTTGAGATTAACAAAAATTTGGAAGACAAATATTTGAAATTGAATTTTTTTAAATCTGGACGTGAAAATCGGTTTACATATGGAATACGTAAACCTTTTTCCCATATTCAAATTGAAAAATAAAGTCGACCATCGACCAGGGTTACCCATTACCGGGTTATTTCTCATGCGACTAGTTTATTACATAATTGTCCCTTTTTCTTCCATAGACTTTCTAAGCAATGGAAATCCTAGGGGTCTAGCTTGCATTTGCTCCGAACCCAAACTTGGATTCAAGACCCTCAAGCCGAGTGTGGAGGTGCACGTATTTGAACATTTCTGAATTCATGTGGGTGGAGGTGTCAAGGTGGATTTATGGACTCGTGTGTCGCGATATAATTTGCAAAATTATCTCCATCCTGAATTTCGCTACGATCCCAGAGCCACATATTTACATACATGTAGTCATACACTTACCATTAATATTGATGAATTCAGTTATCATTTAGTTTTAAATTAATTAATATGAATTTATGTGAATTGTGCTGGTCATAGTTTTTTATTAAAAATACTTAAAAACATTTATTGATATACAAAGATATTTAGAAATGATAAATTTTATTATGTCGATTTCGACGTACACATACATTTTTAATTTGCGTATTAAATGAAACTCTATTTGTCCGAACGTCTGCAAAATTTTTCACATCCGCTTTTCGAAGCTGACCTTTAGTTCATTTTTTTGAATGAAGTCTACCATCCGGGACAGTGCTGCTGGGTGGAACTGAAATAAATCAGGGCAAAGTAAATATGTCAAATATAAATTTGTACTTTTTTTAAAATTAAAAGTGTAAAAACTTAATACGATTTTTAATATAGACTTATACGATTGAAAAGCGATTTTTTCGCCCTCGATAGATTTTAATGTATGTGTGATATCTCAAAAAATATCTCCTCTTGTTTTATATGAAATTAAAATTTTCTTCCATTGCTACACTCACCCTAAAGCCGTGTAAAGACAAGTTTGGCTGCCAGATTTTAAAAACTTCCTCATATTTTGTGCATCCAGGGTCGATCCATTCTCTCGTGTTTGAGGGCGTCCTACATCGCACGATGCTGATGTGTTTAAATGATCCTACATGAAAATATGGACAAATTTGCGTAATTTAGAAATTGTCTATAAAATTGAATAACATTTGACATTTTGCATAGTGTTCTAAGCTGACAAGATTTGGCATGAATGTCAAAATTTAAAAAAATCTGATTTATATTTTTGCCTGATTTTTTATAATTTAATCAAAACTTTTTGTTTACCATGTGACAACGCTGACTCATCCTTCCCACGAACGCTACCAAACCGCATGGCTTCCATTAATTCGGAAAAAGTGCAAATTTTTGGAAATAACATGATCGTCAAATTCCACGGACACTGGTACAAATTTCGAAAGGATTCCACCATCTTGTTGGGACTCTGCATCGATCCATAAATTTGCACTGTGAAGTTTTTCAAATTCGGAAAAATTTGCCAAATTTTGGACCAAATGTGCTCCGATGTATCGCAATTTATATCAATGCCATCAAATCTGAGTTCCTCTACGGTTGTCCACAAAATTCTTGAAAATCCGTTGGTAATGTACTTCCCGAGAAATCGAGTACCTCTGTAGGAATTTTCTGCCATGAGTAGCTCAACCCGCTTTAAACTTGGGAGTTCATTCTGGGTCAATTTCGTAAATCCGAGGTCAAACATGTTAACCGTGGGGAGGGATAATGTAGTGAGTTTCTTCATTATTGGAAATACGAGTAGGGTGGGATCAAACTGTGGAAGTTAATATTTGTTTCAGATGCGAGTATGGAAAACAGGAGAGTTCAAGAGTTTGGCATACAATTAGTAAACAATTTAGTAAACAATTTAGTAAACAATTTAGTAAACAATTTAGTAAACAATTTAGTAAACAATTTAGTAAACAATTTGGCATACTCACGAAAATATTGGCATATCACACATACATATGTATGGCAACTGAGCATATGTAAACACAGCAACTTGTTAGAATTCGTACTTTAAGAATTGGTGGAAAACAAATTGATGACATTTAAGAAATTGGCACGGTTTAAATGTAATTTTTTAAAAAACTAAATCAAATTAAGTGTTTCGGAAAACTTGTAAAATAAAATAATAGAAATCTTCTACTTGTGTTGCGATGGGAAATTTGCGAACTTTTCGTGAGTATGCTGAATTTTAAATTCGAGAGTTATTCTTCATTCTCCAAGAATTCCGCCATGACGTAAATTAAATAGGACTGGAAATTTCAATTTTAGAGTTTAAATCATTAAAAATTAAGATTGCCTATACAGTCTCATAATGATTTTAATTAAGCCATGAGGAGACTTTAAGGCTGAAAATGTCGTAGTTATATATCAGTCAAGGGTCAACTCTTGGTGAATGGAGAATATGTTGGGCAACAACTCGAATATGTAGAACATTGACACACACCGTAAGCAATGGCGGATCCTCGCACGATCTTAGCACGGCAGCACGGAAATATTGCAACGTTTCTGAAACCTGATTAAGCATGTCGAGGATTTTTTGAATTGTAAAATTGTCACTGAATTGTTGGCTGAAAGTTTTTACAAAATTATTAAGAAATTTAAGTGAGTTTTTATTAAAAACTTTTTAATAACATAGTTGCAAAACTATATTTCTTTTTAAAAAATGCTAACTTACAAGTTTGTGTTTGACTTGAACGGGTGAAATTTCCATTTGAAATATTTCAATTTTTTACAAGATGACAAATCCGGGAAGAAATTAGTTTCATCATTTATCCTCAAATTTTCCAAATTTATAGCCTGCTTTATAATTTTTGAGGCCATGGCGTGAAAATTGCTTCCAGTTTCGGATAGCTCGAAATTCTTAATGTTGAAACTCCTCAAGTTTGACATGTTAAATTTGGTTTGCAATTCGCTAATTTCGTTTTGTGGGAATAAATCATCATTCATTTTGAAGACTCGAGTTGTCAGACATTTTAAATTTTGAAACTGGATGTTACTAAGGAGCGAGAACATTATGGTGTAGAGATCGGTGGACATTGAGAAATAAATTGAGTGAAATTTGTCTCCATATTTTGCAGCGAAATTTGCGAAACTCTGTTGAAAATAGGGATAACGTATGTCGACGTAATATGGTACGCTGGCGATGTAAGAGACGACGGAAATGTGGCGGATGAGGTCGATATTTGGAGGATAATCGGGATTTGAACGTCCTGTGAGGAGGGATTTGTAGTAACGGACGAATGAATAGGTCGTCTTATTTCGTAAAATCGTGTTTGCCTCATTTTCCCAGAATTTCGACACTTTTCGAACCTCCTTCAAATCCCTGGTGCTCAAGTGAGCAAAGATTCCGTGGAGAATCTATGTAATTTAGAAAATTACCTAAATATTTATAACTTACATATATAAAAAATAAACGCTTTGGGATTGTCGAGGGAGGCGAAATTTTTGAAATTTATAATTCGAGTAATATTTAGAAAATTTGCACAAGGTTTCCGAAAGCAGGTGCGATTTGAATCGTTCCATATTCAAGTTATCCGATTCGACTTGAATTAAACTCGGCAACTATTTATCTATAAGTATTCGCCTTACCAGAGAATTTCCTACAGCAGTTATAACCGACATATTGGTTGATTCTTTTGAGGTCATGGCTGGTTTTACTGGACCCAATGAAACTTGTGTATAATTTAGAAATAGTAAACTTTTTTTAACTGGTTAAAATTTCATGTATTTTTTTATGTCTGCTGGTGTTAATTGTGTAAATATTTATATGTATTTCTCAGTCTACACTCAACTGATGCTAACAGGCTAAAAAACGTAAGGGCTGATGTGGTTTCCGATTCCAGAAAATTTTACCTTCAGATTAAGATAGACTGATACATTTATTTCAATGAGGCATCCCAATTACTGGGACCTTACACCTCAAGGTAAGAGGTACATACATATAAATTAAAATAAGACGTCTTTGTAGTTACATGTATGCATTGGTAAGTAGATATGTATGTATAGACCATTCGCCTGTGTATGTACATATGTGTGTAGTTTACATTGACCAGTGTGTTTGAAAACCTTGAAAAATATGTACATACGTACATATGTAAATGAGGTGCACACCTTTTTTGAATAGACATTTTTTTTGTTCATATGCAAATCCATAGAAATATGCAGGTTACGATTTTTCTATGCATTGTACGAACACCAGGTACTTATTTAGTGCACGACGATTAGAATAAGTTAAGGCTACGATTTAAGGTTGGGATTAATTTGTACGACTCCTGCGAGGTCAGCTTTTACGGATTTTTGATTGTAATACATAATTCAACTCTGCGAATACATCACTTTACTCATTTGAATAAAACCATTCATAAGTTAAGCCTCTCTTTAAACTAAACACTTTTACTGTAGCATTGACGTGTCAACCTACCAGTACTAATCCTGCCGAGGTGAACAGGCAGAAAAAGGATCCTAAGTAAATAAGTGCATAAATGTATTTGCATTCAAATATCTCTGAGGATTATTTTATACATATTTGTACATGGTGTGTACACCTGCAAACATGCTTACATATGTATATGCATAGAATATGCGTAATACATAATAACCTTCGGAATACGCATAGATGCACCTATAGATACGTGGTCTTACATATATTATGAGCACAAAAATATACTAAAACCATGCTCATATTATTCTGTATCGCTTTACCTCTAGAATAGTACAAGTTCACAAGTAAAATTACATTACCTACACAATTTCGTAAGTATATATGTACCCATGGAAATGCGCATAAATACGTGTATTGCATCATTACCCAATTTGTATAATTTGCAAATTTACCAAGTGTGAAAAGTATGTGTCGTTCCCTACATTACGTTACATTACATTACATGACGTCCGTGCATAAAGTTAGTCCGTTCATAAAGGATACGATAAATTGTACCCAGAAAATGTCTCATGTTACATATTTACATGTAATATTTATGGACAGAATATATACCACGATTTCTAAATAATCCCTCAAAAAAATATTGGTCACGTCCCTTATGCACGATCTCAGATTTGTGTCATTATGCATTAAACGTTGCAACGTATTTACTCAATAACAACAGCACAACAATACGTATGTACAAGTTCATGGAGTAACTCGGCAATAATTGAACCCATGTTGACGATTTAACAGGAAATGAACGACGTATGTACATATGTCCTTACTAGAAAATCGTAAATGTGAAGTTTATTCACCGTGTTAAATAAGATGACCAGTGAGTGACATAAATACATAATTCGTGTTACTCGGTTGGCCATGACGTTTCTGGTTGCATTATAAAAAATAAACGTATGAATTTATTTGCATGTCACTGCCACCAATAAAAAGATGAGGGGTGTCGTCAATGCAGTTTACTTGCAGTTCAGCACGCATCTGGAGAAAAGTGGAGAAATAATTTTAAAAATTTGCTACAAATTATTCAGAAATATTTCAACTAAATTGCTAAATACTGTAAGGTTTTTAATCACGCGTAAATACTGTACTTACTTGGAAAAATGGGACAAGGTAAATAACTTAGAAATCACAAAATTTCGATTTGATTTATAATCTGGTTTTTAAATTTCATATATATTTGAATTTATGGTAACAAATACATTTTGGAAAATTTAGTTGCATTAAAACTGAAATTTGAAAACTTTAAATTGGATATTTTAAAAATATGGATTGTCAAAAATTTAAAACGTTTTTACTATTTTCTTTCAAATTTCCAGAATCGTCTTCACACTTAGAACTGGAACATTTGATCGGCTACTCATTCAGAAGCAGGGGATTTCTAGATAAGGTCAGTTCTCGTGATGTCCTGGACGGCAAACGTTACGAACTTTTGGGGGACGCCTTAATAAAATTTACCCTAATGGACCATCTTTCTCGAAAATATCCAGACTGGAATGATTTCAAAATTTCAAACAAGTTGGACCTTCTCCTTAATCGAGACCGGAGTAAAGAAATCGTTGATAATTTTCATCTCAAAAAATTCGTCAATATGGAAAAATCCGATAAACTAATCCTTGATTCCTTGATTGGTGTCATCTATGTCGACGGGGGCGGTGAGGGGGGCGCTGGATGCAAAGCGGTTAAAAAGGTCATCTACAAACTGTGGCAATTAGGAGATGGTGCACCGGAAACAAAAAAATATTGGAATCGTTCACTTTTCCATGCTGTCAAAATTAATCGAGAATGTTTCTAATGAAATCAGTATCCTACCAATGCAATTGCGTATTTATTTGAATTGAATGTTATATAATAAAACCAAAAAATTAAACGTTTATGCTTTTGTAAATATGTATAATTTGTTGTGTATTTATTTCAGACATAAGTGTATCAATACATATTCTGAACAAATTAATTTATGGGGATTTCAGATTTAGGCGTAATATATGTACATATTTGTAACCTTCTAGTTAAACGGTTTTACGTAAATGGATTACGTTCACGCTACATTGATGACCAGCGTCGTGAATGTCACTTATCCAAATAAATTGTTATATGGACTTTGTATGTATGTATACTACAATAAATAGTTTACGCAAAATTAAGAAATAACGCATTGATTTCGAATGTATTTAATGCAAACGTGTAGAAAAATTTTAAATAATGGTAACATGTATGTAAATCATTACCGGTAAGGTGATAAGGAGCATTAATGCTGTTCAGGAATGTATGTGCATAAAGTATTATAAATCGAGTATTAAATTTCTACCATGTAATATCGGCACATAATATGTATATGGGTAAATATTAAATACCTTGGCAGGTCGCTAAAGGTTCAGATTTGCATATACGGTTAGGAAATATTCCGACCATTAAACTTGTCAAACGTGTTAGATTTTTCTAAAGCAAATATTAACAAGTATGTAGTCGCATGGGGTGAAATAAATATCAAGTCCTGTCTTCGCTATAGGGTTTTAAAAAAATTGGATTGGCATAATTTCTACCTGTTTAAATTTTTCCAATTTTTCCACCAAATATGAAATGCGGGTTAATGAATGCATAAACCGGTCGGAACATTATGAAACGTTCGTATGTAAGTCGGCATTGCAGGTCATGAAACAAAATTAACTAGAACTTTTCTCAGTAACTGTCTGACGCTAGACGGGTGACGATTGGCACTTGGATCGTAATACGTGTTGAGTGGATAATATTTTAAAATAATGAAGTTGGCATTATTCGTAAGTTAAGTTTGCTGATTTGATATTTAATTTGTATTAACAAGTGTGGTTAATTCAAAAAATATTTTAGTTTACCGCCACAATGGCCTTGATATCTGGTTTAGAGTCGAACCATAATATGCATAAAAATTACTCCAACTCGTTCCTGAAATCCACGAAGAATTGGCTGGATGGAAAATTTTTGACTGATTCGAACCCTGGAGACTACACGAAACCATCGTCCCAATTGGAGGACGGGATGCACAAACGGGAAATTCGAGACATCCAGTTGATCAAGGAATATGGGATTTCGCGTAAAATAATTATTCAATGAATCTGATACCTATAAAAGTATTAAGTTTGGCGTAACGCTTGTTGTGCCACAATGCAATATTTTCATTATCTCTTGGGTGGCACTAAATGATGGTTAAACAGAAATATTTCTAATCGTACTTAAAAGTCGGATATTTGTTACTATTCTTCGCAGTGTTGAAGACTGGGAGACTGATCGTGAAGGGAGGCAGTATCTTCAGCCTGGACAATGTCGGCGGGATCCGTGGCACGACCAAATGGACAAATTCCTACTCAGCTACTTCATCGCAACTCAGTATGGTGGATATCGTATTAACCCTGAACACGCTCCAGGCCAAGGTACATATTCAACCATATATCTTATCTAAATGTACTTATTTCTGTTCAGAGAAACATCCTGAGAAGTGTCACTTATCCTAAATGTCAAGTGTACATAAAGTTAAGTTACATAAAGTGTTAAGTGAACCTATGTACATATATAGTAACTTCATACATGCATACATTGGTAAATTCCATTGTGGAGTGGTGAGATTAAATTTTTATTATTACGCAACGACGTTGCTACATATGCGTATATCGCAGTACGCAATGGACGATGAAGTATGTCGATGAGGTAACAGTTTTTCCCGAGTGCGAAGTTCACAAAATATGATGTTTTGTGCACTTGGCACTCTTACACGTATTGACGGATATTCAAAATTTGAATATCCGTCAATGTATGTAAATATCAACGTCTATGGGACGCACGTTAGAAAACCTGGTTCAAAATCCCTAATTTTCATACTAAATAAAGGCCCGTTCTCCTCCGCCACGTGCAGGTTTAAGAGTGCATCAAATCATACTAATCTGCAAGCATTTTATTCGATTACTTGTTCTTGTTTTTAGCTAATGTACCAAGTAACGGGAATCTACTTAGCTCACCCTTTTGTGTGTGTACCGCACCCAAATGTACCAGCTACGCCCCACAATACGAGTGTGGACCTGGACGTGTCTGCAAATTTCTAGACGCATGTGGGTGGAGGTGCCAAGGGGGATTTTTGGAATTGTGTGTATCAATTTAAATTCTGAACAGCCTGTGTGATGTGATACTCACCATGACGATGAGCAAGACACGGACTTCTCTTGATGAATAAATGCAATAAAAAATTTAAATCCTCTAATGCATTTATTACTTACATATGTACGTTGAATAATTTTAAATTCCATATCATAAAAATTCATTTAACTCTCATTGTGGAGATATTTAAATTGATAATCACGTAATTTATTGATAGTCCAACGTACGTGCATATTTTCACTATTTATTACAAACTTTGAATTCGAACACATAATTCAATACAACATGATATATTTATTTAGACTATGAACATAAGTCACTAGGCCAAACCACATTGTGAAGCAATATGTTCAGCTAAAGTTGGCACTGGTTTTATTATGAGCATGAAATATTCTTAAATGACAAAGTTGATAGCGAACAAATTTATGGATATTTTAGTGCAATTTTTTATACTCAATAATGATGTGTTAATGTGGAAGTTCAATTTACCAGGGTATTGCTTAGATATAGGGTGCTTCGTAAGACACAAATCTGTCTTTGAATTTGTAGATCCATATTTGAACTGTGTGTGTCGAATGGTGATAAATTTATGCATATGTACATATATGTATGTAAGTATGCATGTCCCCAAATAATCAAGTTTCTTGATGCACATGGTCCGTAGTTTTAACAAACTTGAGCACTCATGCAAACAATTTCTGGATTAGAGTAAACAATTAAAATTAATGTTGCAAAGTTTTGAGTCACGTTGTACCAAGAGTAATTCAGGAAATGTGCCTTAGAGGATTTTAATAACGGAAATGGGCCAATTCCATTTCAATTGGTGGGGGCATGTCCTTCTAAGAAATTTATGGGGAATACGAATGATACACCAAAAACTTCACCAATAAATGCTTCCCGCAAAACATTAAGGTCTGTCAAATCCTGCCAAATCTTCTGCATACACTTTAGGATTTGCAGATTTACAAATAATGGAATAAAATTTTTTTCGAACCATGCACACATATGTATGAATGTATGTATATGTAAATTCATATAACACATACATACATATGTGCATAGGTTAGGTACATACACTCTTAGCAAAATGGTAATAATTTGGAGCAAATCATTAAAGGGATGGAATGCATATATGACTCTACCAGATTGTAATAACGATCGTTACTGTTTAGTAATGTGATGGTAATAAAGTGTTACCAATCGGAAATAAACATTAACATACCTGGTAATAATTCGTTACCAAATCAATACCATTTGGTAACAAATCATAACCAGCCCAGAATGCATATATGACTCTACCGGGCTTGTTGATTTTTTTAAGAGTGTACATATGTACATACCTACGAATATTACTCTATCTTACATACTATGTTGCAATTTTATCAATATTAACCCCATAATATGTTTACATATGTACCTATCTGTGGTTTCTCTATCTTTCTTTACTTCCTTTTTCTGATGACTTCAGCTATATTCAGCTATATGTGGTTCTTGTCTGCTATTATTTTGTATATGAAACATTCAAATCGTTTAATATTTTTGTATGTATATGCACATCTAGACATGTAAATACATATGGTGGATATTATGGATAGATATTTGTGGTTTCTTACGTAATTTCTACAGTAGAGACTCTACTTGCTTAATTTCTATTGAATGAATGGTACATATGCATACCATTCAGAAATAATTTGGTAATGTATCCAAATTCCCGGATGTGGTTGTTGTCTTTACATATTTTATGCACGAAACATTCAACTTGCATAAAGCACAGGTTGCATTCCATCAGTTGAAAATTGTAAACCATAGAATTAGAGTATATATGTATTTAATTAAATCCCTGCTGGTTGACAATGTCTCCCAAAACAATTAGGTAATGACTACGAACCATTATTTACTAACAGGAGAAGCATAAATTCATAACACAATTTAGAAAAAAACTTCTTTTGAAATTTATGTTCTAAAATAAATCCAAAAATTGTATTTTTGTCAAGAAAACGTAAATAGACATATGTGTATGTTCTACGATCAAGCAATATGTCAAAGGTTATAGAGGATCAACCAGTCGCAATAAATATGAGAAACACTGAAGAAACTGACATTACTGGTCAGCTGGAAATTGGACAAACATCGAAAACAATTAAGCGAAAAATCTCACCTGCTGAACTTGGGGCTTGTTTATTCCTTGGGATAATTTTTTTTCCTCCATTAGCAGTTCTTTATTTCACAAAAAGTTGTACTGATACATTTCTCACGTTAGGTGCCACCTTGCTTGGCTGGTGGCCAGGGATGTGTGTGGCGTATTATAAAATTGTCGCTGTTTCTGAACAGGAGAATAATGTAAGATTATTAATGATTTTGCAAAAATTAAATTAAGACAAGAAATCGTGTGTTTGATAATTTTTTGCAAGTATAAAGAAATAATTGATCCCTAAAAGTTTGAATTTTTACAAAAATGGTACAAAGCATATCTAAATAATAGTAAATATGACTGGCAACGTATAATTTGTTTTTAACTTATATTTGGTGAATTCAACAATTTTTTAACTGGACATTTGAATTTTCCAGGATTCGGGTTGTTGTGATGGTAGGCATTGTGATCCTGATCCTTGTTGCTGTTGCTGTTGCGGTGGATGCGACATTTTGGATTGTGACTGTTCGGGATGCGATTGTGATTAAGAAATAAGTGTTAATAGCAGGATTATTTTTGTGAATAAATGGAACACCAATTCCAATTGATAGACTACGTAATTAAGGATACAGTGTCGGACAGATGTCTACGTCCACATAGTCGCGTCAATTTCAGTTTCAAATTGTCACTGAACTACTGAACCAATTTTCATCATTGATATATCAAATTCTCACAAATTTAACGTAATTTCATAGCACATTATTAGTTTTCCGCTAAAAAATTTATTTTAGGCCAGAGATGTATTTTAATTCAAAATGAAAACAATTGGATGGACAAAAGTCAACGTCCAGTCAGAGAAAACATACAAAAAAACTGTAATTTATAAGGAATGTTATAACAATTAATTTTTAATATTTGGTTGGGCCTCCGTTCGCTTTAAGGACGGCTTCAAGGCGTCGAGTCATTGAGTTTACCAAATTCTTGGTCACATCTTCAGAAATGGTTTCCCAAACTTCACGAATTCTGGATTTAAGGCCCGGAATTCCTGAAAAAGATTGTTTTCTTATTTCTCTTTCAATGTGGTCGCACAGATGCTCAATGGGATTCAAGTCTGGAGATTGGGGAGGCCATTCTAGCTTCGGAATTTTTTTTTCTTGAAGTATTCCATGGTGGACTTGGCAGAGTGTTTCGGATCGTTGTCTTGTTGGAAGGCAAATCGTCGTCCAAGTCCAAGTTTTCGAACAGATTCCTGGATATTACGGTCAAGTATTCCCTGGTACTTGTATTGGTCCATAATTCCGTCAATAAATTCCATTTTTCCTGCCCCACTTGAAGCCATGCATCCCCACACCATTACCGACCCGCCGCCGTGCTTAACTGTGGGGTTGAGATTTTTTGGATTCAATGCTTCTTTTGGATATCTCCACACTCTACGACGCCCATCTGACCCAAAGACATTGAACTTTGACTCGTCAGTCCATAAAATATGTCCCAGAATGTTTGTGGCTTGGAAATGTGGTCTCTGGCAAACTTCACTCGTTTGGTTGCATTCCTCGGTACAATAAGAGGCTTCCGGACTGCTCTGTGGGATTTCAAATTTCCCTTATTCAGTGTTCTTTGGATGGTCATAGGACTAACCTGTTTGCCGAACATCTCCTTGATCTCGGTAGATAGCTTTGGAGCACTAAGTGAGGGTGTAACGTTGACTTTGTTGAGCACGTGGCGTACTTCTCGGTGAGCCAAAATGGGTTTTCGACCACTTCTGACCTTGTTTTGGACTGAACCATTAGCTTTAAAGTTCTTAATGATTGTCTGGATGGTTGTCCTTGCTAATTTATACTTGGTCCATATTTGTCTCTGCGACAGCCCCCTTTTTGTCCACCCGTCCAGTCCTGAATGACAAGATCTCGAATAGCGATAGGAATTTCCTTGCGTGTCGACGCCATCATATTTTTCTGGAAGAAAATTATTTAAAAATTAATGCGGCATATGTTATTGATAGATTTATTAAGTTACCTGATTTTATAAATTGGAGAGATTTTTGTTGTTGACAATTAAAGTGAAGTGGACGTAGACTTTTGTCCGCTCAAATTTCATCCTCTCTCGCTCTGCACTATGATTCTCAGTTTTCCCAGAATTTTCAGAAATAACTCATATGTTTTATGAAATTACGTTAAATTTGTGAGAATTTGATATATCAATGATGAAAATTGGTTCAGTAGTTCAGTGACAATTTGAAAATGGAATTGACGCGACTATGTGGACGTAGACATCTGTCCGACACTGTAAGTAATACTTATATCATTGATTCACGTAAATACATATGTATGCATATGTATACGTATGTATAAATGTATGTATGTATGTACACTCCGCTAAAATTGCTAGTTCGATCCCACACATTTCTCATTACTGACAATGCGAAGGCAAACCATGTTCAACCCAGATCTTTTTATGACCACCATAGGTCAACTGATCAGAAACAACAGTTGGTTCGGAACTTGGGCGGATATGCAAAATTCAGCGACTGATGGGCGCTGAAAGTTTGCCGTTTTCCATCCAGAAAACGAGTTTTGCACTTTTTACTGCGAGAATCCCTCGGTTTCTGGAACTTGCCGCACAAAAAAGTTGCCAAATTTTGCATATCCGCCCAACTTCCGAACAGAACGTTATTTCTGAACGTTATTTCTGAACAGTTGGTCTATTAAACTATGGTATGGTCATAAAAAGATCTGGGTTTAACATAGTTTGCCCTCACATCGTGAGTACAATTTCATTGAAATGATATTAAATGCAAAAATGAATCAATTAACAAAAACAGCTGCATTTTGTTTTGGAGACCACTGCAAAATTTTATTGAGGTTGTGACTTTCCATGAACTTAATAAATGCATTAAGTGTAATTAAATAAATTGTTATAACAATTTAAATTATAGTTTGGTTAGGAAATGTACAACTCCTGTGTAGTATTGATATTTAGCAATAAAGAACAGGAGAATTATATTTTGATACATAAAAAGGCAAATAATATCTAGACATTTAAAATTTAATTGAAAACAGAGCATATTAATTGTTGTAAATGTAACACCTTATTTATTCTTGTTGAAGTTGAAGTAGAATAATATTTAAGGGAATGCAAGACAATATCATAATTTGAATTTTATATTTTCGTAATCTGCTGGCAAGATAAATTTTCGAAATATCGGTAAAAATATACATATATTTCCCATATCATTTTTGCACTTCTGTAATCCTTTTATACATACCTACCCTATTCCCCCGTGAAGAACAAGACTAATCGCATACAAGTTTTTCTCCTGCTATTAACAACACCAGGTACGCATTGTTTCCACACAGCGCTTATTTTATATCCATGCACGACCTTAAACCCGACGGTGATAGGACGCCACTCATAGACCACTTCATCGTCAAATTCATCAGGTATCATGTTCACCTCAGCTACATATTTCTTCCCCCCCAATTTTGTCACGTTGTCAAATTGTGGCCAAAAGTAGGTGGAAAGTCTAACCTAAATTATGCATTGGATATTACCTTGTGTGCTAAAATAATGATCATATAATTTATAATTTACTTACATTTCCATTTCTGTAAAGGACAGTATATGATTGATGTTGGTCTGCACTACAAAGATACCCCGGATCTTTAGAAGCCGATGGAAGCCAGAAACTAATTGGTAAATGATTAATATCTTGCACAATGTAACTTCGGTTGCACCCTGTTCAAAAATTAGTTATTGAGGTATGTAGTTTTGTCTAAAAGTGTTTGATGAATTAAAAATTAAATATTAATTAATTACAATTTTAATAATAAAAAATAAATAAAGTGAATTATATGTATATGCACCGGATCGGAAAATGCCGGCTCGGAAATTTTAACCAGTTCTGTTATTGAAACCGGGTTTTTATGGGTTGGGGTTTTTGTGGGTTTTTGTGGGTAGCCAACCTCGGAAAAACCACCCTATTACGCAATGTTAAATGGGGGTTTTTGGAGGTTTTTGTAGGTTTTTGTGGGGTTTTCCGAGGTTTTTGCAGGGTTTTTGTATGATTTTAGAATTTTAGACGAATACAAATTATATTTTCGGTTTCAGAATGATTCTGAACATTTTCATGTGCGACATGACTATTTAAGTGCAATTATCACATTTAGCCTATTTCCCTATGCTTAAAAACATACTTTTGACTTGAAAGTTGAAGTCACACATGAAAATGCTCAGAATTTCATGCTTAATACAAATATTAAAGTAGTTTCACTGTAATACTTAATTTGGGAAAATTTGTTTCATGTCACCCCAAAATTATGCAAAAACCCACAAAAACCCCAAAAACCAACGAAAACCCCGGACAAACCCTTGAGGCTGGGTTTTTCTAGAATAACCCCAGGGTTTTCCGAACCCTAATTAAAACCTTGTAGTATGGCATATAATTTAATGAAGGATGGATGTCAGCCACATCGAATGTGCCAAAGTGGGAATGTGAAAGAGTCATCAAAAACTTTAATTGTGAAAATTTTAGATACGCTGCGTCATTAAGTACATAATTTCAATCTCGTCCAAAATATGCAGAGTAAAAAAATTAGCCGGGTTTCTAATTCTAACCGATCTCTAATTTTAGCCGGCTCTATGACCCTAAGTTTTGAATTTTAGCCCCGGCTATAAATAGTGGATTTACGGTATGCTTGGAATTTGTAAGAAAGAACATGTTTCTGTTTAAGTGTATTTATTGGATTTATGTAATAATTTCTGAATCGGGTTACCTTCTCGTTGTCCATATGCGAGCCTTGGATCATTCCAATGAAACGATACCCCCATTATTACTGGAACAATGCTTGATTCAAGGTCCAGTTTATAAGACTGGACAGATACTGTTGTTGAAAGTGATACTCGGGTGGCACTAAAGTTTCGTGCAGTTGGCGAAACCTTATAGTCGTATTCGAACGGCTAGGCCATGGCTGTTTACAGTTCGAATCCAGTTGCAAAATCTTTTCCCCCATCGTCACAAAATTAGATAATAGTGTGAAAATAATTAAACAAAAAGAAATTGTGAATTTTATCAGATCCATTTTTTAACGTTTGGGTAAAATAATTATTTTCTAGCTGTAATGCGCTCAGGAGAAGCCCAGAAATTCGATTGGACACAGTTATTTTTGAGCAGTGGAAGATATTGCACGAAAAGGTGACCTCATTTATATTTAAGTTTTCTTGGAAGGATAGAAATTTACGGGGTACCTAGAACTAGAACTTGTGTCATCCTTGAAGGGTGTGATCCAGTACCATAGAAATATATGAGAAAGTATACTGAAGGCAACAATCTTGTCGGCATTGTAAATCCACCCTCGCCCAAATCCACCCTCTGTCCAGCCAACCCCCGTTCATATTGATTTTGGGATAATGTGAGATTAACAGAATCCAAAGTTATTTGGCACCTCGGGGTATTCATATTAAATTTATGTTAGGTACTTCTCCGCCCAACTACCGGCAGTGGTGGGATAAGAAGTAGCAAAAATTTATTAACTTGGGACGAGGGATGTATGTAAGACCTATAAAAAGTTATAACCTAGCAATTTTCACATAGGCAAATGTTGCCCATATATAACTTTGTCATAAAGGTGAATATTGGTCTACATAAGAAATATTAAGGTGAATGTTAGAAATTAGATATGACAATTTGTCAATAAAGGATACAGAATCCTGAATAAATTGATTCCCACAGTTTCAAACACACATTGTATGATACACTTATAGGACATAACAATGTGTCACACTGATATTAATTTATCACAAGAAAAGTTGCATATGTACAGATATTTAATCGAAATTCGAGTATAAAGAGTCCTAGATATGTTATTGAGGGCTTAAACAAGGTCTACAAGTTGCCCTGCAAAAAAATTTAACCTGATACGAAAATAATTTCCCACGAGATAAATCAAGTTAACTTGAAAAAATTGATCCGATGAGCTAATCTTGAAAATTAAGTTGATTATTTATCGTCCAGTGAGTTTGCTTATGTTTCGCATTTATTAAATCTATTAAATCTATTAAATTTATTAAATCTAAATTTTAATTATTGTATGTCATACAATAATTAAAGTTCAATAGAAATTATAAAGTATGTACATACATATATTAAGAAATATTATAGTATTATGAAAATCATACATAAAGCGAATAATGAAGTTTTAATAAAATATTTATGTTATAAATTATGGAATAAAGGGTGACGATTCTTAAAATGCAGCAAGCAACTAAAAAATAATTCAATACAAAATGATATGCATGCATGCGTTAGGTTAAACGGTAAAAGGTAAAGTCGGTACTTTTTTATTGCGAGCATAAGATTACTTGTACGATAAGGTAGATACTGGTCCTAATTTATTGTGATTTTTTTATACGCAAAAATGAGACAGAAGTTGAAGTTAGCCAGTGGATTACAAACATGTCTTAAAATTTATAGACCATTCAAATTGTGTATGCTACGGATATAAATACGTATTTATATTTAAATATGAATATATAGCAAAGAAATTTTATATTTATATAAAAAAGTTATGTAACTTACCCGTTAATAAATAATTGCTGATTCGATCTAGAAGAACCAGTTTTTGAATTTAAAGATGAATAAAATTCTACTTGATCATGCACTGTGGACTAAATTTTATATTTGTGGGTCAAATTTATTTTTTTATTCGACCCTGTTCAGTAACTATTTGGCTTTGGAAGAGTGACTTTGCACGCTTACGTGTTGTGATATATTAAATTTACGGCTATTATTACAGCAGAGTTTCCGCTATTACAAAGGGTAAAACAATGGATGCAAAATTATTGGTAAATTAATAGATAACTTCTGCTGTATATTTTACGTTAATGGAGGTAATTGGGGATTAATTATTTTCAGTTTGTTGGTACAATGGGATTCATATTTTCCATCGCGTCGTCCCACGCCCATCGCACAATCTATTCTAATAATACAATTCCTGTCGGGAGGAAATCGTTTGAGAAAATTTGGGAAAATTGGAAACTTGAAAATTATACGAAGCCCTCGTACCCATTAATAAATGAAGACGCGAGGCTGTCCGGACTGGAAATGCCGGATGTTCAGTTTATCATGGATTATGGAAACTCGTGTAAAAATTTTAATTACTGCTACTCGTCTTTCCTAGAGTATTGTATAAGTTATGTTGAAGTCAATATGTTGGTTAAGGCGATCTAGGTAAGTGACATTTGTGCAAATTTCAAAGTTTTGTATCGGTCTATGTACACGCAAAGTTGGAAATAATTCCCGTCAGTTTCAAAATTATGGAACACATTGTGCATGTGATTCATCCCGAAACACATGCACAATGTGATAGCGAGCGGAGGCAGTATCTACGGCCTGGATGGTGTCGACGGGATCCATGGCATGACCAAATGGACAAGTTCCTGCTCAGCTACTTCATCGTGACGCAGTTTGGCCCTATTGATAATTCACCCAGGGGAATTGTTGATGGAGCCATTTTTGGTACTCCTAAACCTTTAGTCGTTGGTCAACCAGTGGTTCCACCAGTAGTTGTCCAGCCGGTGGTGGGCCAAGGAGGGTATATTGTTCCACCTGGGTATGTTGTTGACCCGTATGTATACACGGGACGATAAGGAAAACTTATTCGTGACAGAGTAAACAATTTCTGTAGTGATCATTTGTGACATGTTGATGAGGGCTGCAGGCCGTATGTCAATAAAATACTATACTATACTATTCGTGACAGAGTATATTAAAAAGATTTATGTAAATGTGATAATCCTAACAAGAAATATTAAATTTTCGACAAGTTAGTGCAAATCTGGGATAATGTGTGTACGCATAAAGTATAAATTCACGTGTCATGTTTCGTATGTATAAAGCTCATGCAAAAATTTATGTTCAGAAATTTCGAAATATGAGGGAGTGGCAGTTTGTACAAATGCATACAGACATAAACGGTGTCTACTTAATTTCTGAAAGTCCCATGTTTTGGTCAGGTGCACTTAAACAAATCGACCTTGTACGGAAACCAGCTTATGTAGACATGTAATTATTTCTTCCCCTTGAAGCCTAATGTTATGGAATTTTATAAACAAAAACTGGTACAGATTCAAGCAATATTGGGTGATTAATGCTGCGCGCTTCATATTTGGAGAAAACTGAGAGCTGCTCAATATGGTTTTCACCCGGGAGGATAACGAGTATTTATTTATGACTCCTAAGTAAACCTCATAACAAGAAATATTAAATTTGAGACAAGTGAATGTAAAATCATAATATTTAAGTATGTCTGCGTGTAAATATATGTGTATAGTCAATTCACTTGATGTAATATTTCATTAAACGGATACCAACATATGTACATAAATATATAAATGCATAGACGCAAACAAGTGACCATGAAGTTCAATCATACTTCACGAAATGAAACTACTTACGTACAATTATTCACAAAGGTTATGTTTTTATTGTTGAGATGCATTGATATTTGTGTTTTGCATTGATCATGCCTGACATTTTTCAGCAGTCTTAATAAACCTTAAAATTTCAATTGAACACGTTAATTTGTACTCAATACAAAATTATATAGATTAATAAAGTGGTGGAATAAGCCCCATTGTTATAAAAGACAGCTAAGGTTGGTAAACTTGATTTATTTCTAGAAGGAAATCATCTTGTATTATATTTACATACATACATACGTATTATACAATACAAAATTAAATGGATTAAATCAGTGGGCTCAAACCCTGTCTGAGTCAAGCAACCGAATCTTAACGCATATATGTATATTTACATACATATGTACATAAACTTGTATTATTGCGAGCATGACATACTCTTGCATGATAAAAGTAGATTTTGACACAATTTGTTGATTTTTTATTGTACTTCTTTTTACTCTAAAAGTAGGTTTATACAGGTATTTACATAATTTGACAATCTACATAATCCTCCGTATATGGTACTATGCAAAGTTTGCATTGCAAACACGTAATTTAAGTTAAAGGTTGTTAAAATACTTTATCGTAAATATATCTATATACGTACATTTTAATATGTACATATGAATGTAAAGAAGACGTGTATATGTACTTTCTCAATACGAACCGTGCGATAAACTTTGTAAGTCAGTATGAATATGAATGCATGTATGTCTACCCAAATTTAATTCTCACACGGGGTTCAGTAACTGTTAGACTTTGAGACGGTGACATTCTACTGAGTAGAAAATATTTTAAAACAATACACATAAGTAGGTCGAAGGGTTAGCTTTTTGTGGTTTCGGTTGTTGATATATCTTAAAGCAATGGAGTTAAGATTTTTTGTAAGTTAAGATGTACATAACTAAACTCGACGTATTTATATTTACTAAGGGACGAAGATACATTATAGTGATGGAAATGGAGTTTATTGTACCTGTAATTATTAACCTAACCGTAATTATGTCTAAATTATTTTCAGTTTGTTAACCTGATTGGACTCATATGTAGCCTGGAGTTGTTACACCTTCTGCCCACAGTATGTTCCGAGTCGACAGCCTCCGACGGGAACATATTATTTTCGAAACTTTTGAAAAACTGGGAACTTGGAAAATATAGGAAGCACACATTCACTCGGGATCGTGGTGACGCAAAGCTGTCGGAATTGGAGATGCCGGATGTCCAGTTTATCATGGAATATGGAAATTCACGTAAAAAATGTGGACGGGTTTAATCTTCTATGAAGTTTTTTTTATTAGTTAGGGGCATATGAGCCACCGGGCTGATGTCTTAGTAAAATTAAGTAGCTTATATAGCTAGTAGTTATGTAGCTTAGATGAGATTGACCACAGAAGAAATAAGGATTAGTAGTATGGAAAATTAAGAAGAAGTTTGAATTTGCACTGAGTATGTACATGCCTCACAAAACAAGTCACCTTCCTACATATAATATGGTTGCATATTTTAGGTCTATCGATTATCTATGTAGCCAAAACAGCCCATATTAGAAGCACCACACAATTGTAACAAAACTTCATAAATTTGTTATATTTTTTGACAGTTATGAAGACCGGGGACCGTGAGGGTAAGCAGTATCTTCAGCCTGGGCGATGCCGACGGGATCCGTGGCATGACCAAATGGACAAATTCCTACTCAGCTACTACATAACGAATCAATATGGGGGATATGGATTTTCTGGGTCACCTCGAGGGCCTATAATTGAAACTTTCAATACCATTTTTGGTCCTAGGGATCCAGCACCTCCGCCGGCTATAGACCATCCTGGAGTAGTAGTGGATCCTGTTCAAAATATAAGGAGAGAGATGCTCGACTGTTGGAGTATTTTCAGCTACTGATTTATTAAACGCAGCTCATTGTCATACATATAAGATCATCATCTAAGTCATTCAACTTTTCATGCATGCATTTATCCACCCATAATATTAGGTGGTCAAGTATGTGCAATGATGCACATTTAGCGACATAATTCATATTATAACATACACAATCAGGGTTATTTTCAACACTCCCTTTAACAATTATTTACGTATGAATAATAATATGATTGCTTGGTCCATTGATCTCCTTGAGAGGCTGCTCCTCAGCTTGGCGTTGAATCCGTTTAGGACACATATTGCATTTCTTGACAAGAAATACTATTGCACACAGAAAAACTACTAGTGAAAATAATATCCCTAAAATTAACACTGTTATTTCTGATGCTGTCCAATTGTCATCGCTGAATGAGAACACCTGCAGATTCCTGGCTTCTTTTTGAATCCGTTCGTCATTTGTGTTCCAGATTTCATTTAAGTCTTCACTTAAATGACTCCAATTGACTCGCGGATTCAAGTGCCAGTTTACGAGTTCAGAAAAAAGATGATCTTCTCGCTCTTTATAGACGACACGTAATATATTTCCCTTGAATTCAACCTCGTTCAGAGTGAATGTCAAAGATAATGGCAATGTGAATACTTTGTCTGGACATTTTACTCTCCTCTTGCCCACCAAGTACTCTCCTCCTGGACAATATACATGATAAAGACTGTCAAGTATTTTTACTTGTACAAACTCTTTTTCATCTCCAATTGCCGAAATCTGACACTTCTCAATCTTATAGAGTTTTCCTCCGTTTGAGAAGGACGATTCATTTCGACACTTGTTTGAAGTCGTCATTTCAATGTTGTTGTGAGCTTTTTCATAATAAGTCTCATACACACATTCTTCTCCCACATGCAATGTGGCAACAGTCGGGCCTGAGTATTCCATACGACAGGTTAAATTATCTCGTTTCAACATTAAGAAAAACGGATCTGCTGTTAGTTTAGTGAGATTTTTGTTCACTATTGGCACCGAGAAATCCAAATTTATTTGAGTTCTCTCCTTGTTCATTTGGCATAAGTGAAATATTCCAAACTCCACTGGACACTCGTCTCCACAAGGCAGAGTGAAATTCAGATATTCCAAAAGGTCAGGAGTCATTTGTTTTTTCTTCCATGCTTTTTTCGTGTCCCAAATCACTTTTCTCCCCTCAACCAATTTACTTGTGAGGTAAGAGATTAAATATTGTATGGTTACAACTCCTTCCTTAAAGTTGTTTAAATCATTCATTGTTTGCTGGACTTGGTAACCAACTTTAATTATCTCCATTTTAGAACTTTTATGTGCTGACGGTCTTCATAAACTTGTCTTTCAAGTGTATTGAAAGCAAATTCTAGTTCGTCTTGTCGAGTTTCTAGTCGGTGTGTCTCTGCTATTGCATAACTGCCCAGTCCGATCCCAGCACTTCCAACACAAGCGACAAGAATAAATCCCACAACGACAGGAATTACTCTTTTTTGTCTTCGCCTCCCTTGTGGTGGAGAGCAAATATCTTCTAAATTATTTAGAAATATTTCGTCATATGCTTTTTCACATTGTTTTTTCATGATGTTTGCAATTCTGGGTTCCAAATCATCCAATGGCAAAAATTCGCATGGTGAAATTCCAAAAATCCGAACATGCTGTAAAGTAGGTTTCTTTCCTATAACTTGTTCGTATGGAGTTTTTTCTGTATTTTTTGTACTCAAGGTTCTGTTGAGTACGTAGCATGCAGTTCGGATTGCATCCTCCCAGTGCGATTCATGCAGCTGACTTTGGATCAGCATTGACCTCGCTGCATCTTGTTCGATTCGCATTTCACGTTCTACGAATCCATTACTGGGACTGCACTGAGGTGAGTTGAGACCGAATCGTATTCCTCGTTTAGAGAAGAAGGATACCAATTCTTGGCATTTGTACTCGCCCCCATTATCCGATCTGAACATCTTCACGTTATTTCCGGTCTGAGTACGCATGAAGTTAATCGCATCTATAACATTCATTGCGGTTTCACCTTTTTTCTTTTGGAAATATACTTGTCTAAAAGCTGATGCTTCGTCCTTTACTACAAGGAAGTACGAATTTCCATTTTTCGAAATTGCATTTGCATAACCAAGATCGGAATGTAAGCATTCTCCTGGCAAATACTTTACAGTTTTTTCAACTGTAACGTAACTCTTCTTCTTGGACTTTGCTTTCATGCATATTTCGCACTTGAAATTCACATCCTCTCGCTTCATATTTTCCAGGCCATACGCAGCCTCTTTGTCCTTAGTATCGTTCAGAAACTTGGAATTAATATGGGCTAATCTCTCGTGCCATACGACAGGCTTGATACAGGCCATCGCTCTGTTTACAATTGGCTTGAATTTCATTATTTGAAGACCGTCTCTTCGTTCGGCTTCAATATCACGCTGTCCATCGCGATAATAAATAATTTGATTATTTCCGCTTTTGCTTACTACTAAGCCTTTGTCGAGAAGAACATTTTCTGACAGTAAATTTGCCCCCCCTGGCACATATTCAACTTGATAAATAGTTATTTCTACCCAAACTTTGTTAATAAGTGCTTTCACTTTCACTGCTCCTACGCCTTTTACAAGCATGAGAGAGTTATCGGCCATGCTGACCGATTTTGGGCATGGGTATTCTGTATATTCGAAAAACCAGTCTTTTCGCCCACAATAATGGCGATTTGCACCAGAGTCATTTATCCAAAGGTCACTTAGCCCACCAGCCATATAAGCTCCTTCTGATTTTTCATCAGATTTCTGTTCCTTCTTTGCAGAATCTTTATCTTTGAAGGTGCACTCACTTTTCCAGTGGCCCTTTAATTTACAGATGTGACATTTAGTTTTCTTTTTCAGATCACTAATTTCTTGTCTGGTTCGCTTTGGTCGCTCTTTCTTGGCTGCATATGCTTTTGATGTCTCTTCGACATGTGAAGCATTTTTGTACGTCTCGCCATCTTCTAACTCCCAGGTTTTCAACCTGGAGAGAAGTAGAGCTGATGTTTGTTTCGCAATCTCAACTGACCTCCAGGCCTCTCGAAATTGGCGAAACTTTTCGTCCATCATACTGGAAATTATCCTAGCGACCTCCATCTCGTCATCAATTACAGCTCCCATACTTCGCAGTTGGGCGGCATAATTTTGTATTTCAATCATTGTTTTAACTGGGGACTTGCCTGAGGTTACCATAATGCTGTAATATTTCTGCCACAGCACTTGTTTGCTCTCTCCACTGATGCTTTGGTACATCGTGTTTAGTTTATTCCAGATTTCATGGGCTGTTGCACACCCAGAAATCGACTCCACCTCGGCGTCAGTCATGCACAAATATAACGAAGTCATAGCTTCATTGTTGCGTTTATCCCATTCTTTTTGAGGATCACCTACTGCTGCAGGTCTGGTGGATGTTCCGTCCACTATTTCGTTTAGGTCATGCGACCTAAATAGGCTTGACATCCTCACTTTCCAAACACGGAAATTATCACCGTCAAGTTTAGATATCGAAGATGTGTCAAACTTTCTACCCACTATTGTCGTAGTGGTAGTTGTTGTCGTTCCCGAAGTCGTGGTAGTCATTTTCTGACTTTATTGTCTCAAACTTATATTTTTAAACTTAAAATCTTTTCAGAAATTTAAGTTTTTCAGAAACTTTGCAGAACCCGTGCTGATAACGTGTTCAAAATATAAGGAGAGAGATGCTCGACTGTTGGAGTATTTTCAGCTACTGATTTATTAAACGCAGCTCATTGTCATACATATAAGATCATCATCTAAGTCATTCAACTTTTCATGCATGCATTTATCCACCCATAATATTAGGTGGTCAAGTATGTGCAATGATGCACATTTAGCGACATAATTCATATTATAACATACACAATCAGGGTTATTTTCAACAGATCCTTCCTACCTTCCTGCCGGGGTAGTTGGTTATGGTGTTGACCCAGGGACCGCTGGGTTTCAGTATGGGGGAAGATAAGGAGTACTTATTTATGACACAGCTTACTAAACTATGTAATTGTCATATCGTAACAAGAAATATAAAATTTAAGACAAATGAATGTAAAGCTATAATAATTATGTATGTGTGTCTGTAGTGTAAATTCACTTGATGTCATATTTCATAAAACGCGGATACCAGCACATGTAAATATATAAATGCATAGACGCGAACAGGGGTCAATGAAGTTGAACCACTCTTCACGAAATGAAACTAATTACAATTATTCACAAAGGTCATACATATTTTTCATTGCAGCGAGACATTAATCTTCGTGTTATTCATTGCTCATATCTGGCATTTTTCAGCATTTTTAATAAACTTTAAACACGTAGAACTGCATTCAATACAAAATGATATAGATTAACACAGTGGGTTAAGCCTAATTGTTAAAAATGACAGCTAAGGTTGGTAAACTTGTTTCATTTCGAGAACGAAATATTCTTGTATGACATTTACATATGTATGTATGTATGTATATATTATTCAGCACAAAATTAAAAGGATTAAATCAAGTGGCTAAACGCCTGTGTGAATAAAGAAAGCCAAACTTAATACTTATACAGGTCGATGCCTAAACTTGCCAGCATGACATTTATATTCTTGCATGACTCAGGTAGGCAGATGGTGTCCTAATTTATCGATTTTTGTACATCCTTATGGGAAACACATGTTGGTGCACGTATTTAATTTTCGACAGCCTAATGATTACTACTTTTAAGGTCATTATAATAATCGATTTTGGTCGTAGGGATCCACCATCTGCGCCGCCTGTAGTCTCGAATATCCATTATGTGCATCCATCGTATGTCCAGCCTGGTGTATTGGATCCTTACTATCCACATGGGGTAGTTGTTGACCCCTATGCTCACCAAGGCTACGTTCAGCCAGGATCTGTTCATCCAGGGGTTGGGAGATAAGCAAACCCTGATTCATTGTATATAAATTTTATTGTCTAGGTTTATGTATGTGGTTATAATATGGTAACAAGAAATATTAAATTTTAGACAAGTAAATGTTAACCGGAGTGTTTTATTGTATCCAATAAATACATAAATAAGTAAATAAATACATGGTTTCAAATGTCGATTGAAACGAGCTAATTCTTTGACCAGTTTCAGCCTTTGGATAAAATTTTCTATGGGATCAGAAAGACTAAAATTGTTTAAGGTCAAGCAATTTCAGGTCACGTAAAAACTTTAAATTATCCGAAAAATTGTACTCAAGAAGTAAAAGATTTTGAAAATTTCATGCAATGTAGATAGTGACTAGCATTAAGCGAAAGTTCCTTCGGAAAAATATTCATTAACAAAGACAATTTTGAGGATCACGTGAGACGCGTAAAAAACGTATGTTCTATTTAACATTAAAGGATTTGCAAATTTCTGGAGGAATTTTAGATCGGCGCGCCAGGGCGCGCCGCCGTCGGGCCCTCAATCTTCGCGCTGCGGCGCGCCGCCGCCGCCTATGATTTTTACTCCTCACGCCGCCTATGATTTTTACTCCTCACGCCGCCGATGATTTTTATTCCTCACGCCGCCGCCGCCGAAATTAGTGTCGGCGTGGAGGTGTTTATACACAAATGTAGGTAGGTGGGTAATAGCTCAACCTGGTTTTACAGTGAAGATGTCATTCTTTTGTCTAAATACAGTGTCATGCATATATCTCCATACACATAAAAATTTGCCTTATCTTCCAAATTGGTGGACATAGACATTTGAAATTTTGCAGGTTTGTAGTTTGGAAAGATTGAGGAGGAATGCCGGTCCTATTTTCGAAATATGTGGAAAAGGTCAAAGGTCACAATTTTTCAAAAAAGCTCAATTTTCACCTACCACAAACAATTTTTTTCCATGGTGTTTTTATTTTTCTATCGAAAGAAGACGTAATTCTGAAAATTTGGACATGTCGTACACCTCTGTGCGATTCTTTGTACGCCCACAGTGATTTTGTGAAAAGTGCAGTTTTGAAAAGTTATAACATTGCGCTTATGGGGCAAAATCTCAAAAACTACACTTTTCAGAAAATCACTGGGCGTACAAAGAATCGCACAGAGGTGTACGACATGTCCAAATTTTCAGAATTACGTCTTCTTTCGATAGAAAAATAAAAGCACCCCATGGAAAAAAATTGTTTGTGGTAGTTGAAAATTGAGCTTTTTTGAAAAATTGTGACCTTTGACCTTTTCCACATATTTCGAAAATAGGACCGGCATTCCTCCTCAATATTTCCAAACTACAAACCTGCAAAATTTCAAATGTATATATCCACCAATTTGGAAAGGCAAATTTTTATGTGTATGGAGATATATGCGTGACACTGTATGTATGCTTTTTGTCGGAGAGGTGCAACTGGACAGATTTATTTCACAATATAAATACATTCAACATTACTAGTATTATAATCTAAAGGATTTTAGTTTTTCTATTTATGTGAAACTACAATTCAGGAAAATTATAATCACAGGGTTACTTCGGTTTCCTATTTTAAAAATATTTGAATTTCTTTATAAATTCTGAAGATAGTGGGTGTCAATATTTGAATACATTGCAGTTAAAGTTGTACTCATGCCTATGCCCAGGATATTTAGGCATTTATGACATGCCCTATTTGCCCAATTTGCCCGGCATTTAAATTTATGCCCCCATACGGATAATGTTATAATAAATGCCCAGGGGATAAATGCCAAGCCTAAAATGCCCTAAATGCCGGGCATTTATTTTTATGCCCTGGGCATTGTACAACTCTAATTGCAGTATAAATTTGTTACACAAGCCCATCCTTGTCTGGAGGAAGCACTAAAAATACGAAAATATGAATTGCTTTAAAGGTACGGTACCTTTTACCAGAACGCCGCAAAGTTCCGGAATTCGGGTAACGTTACACCCACTAAGAATACGGGGGAAGATATAGGCTTCGTCCGCCGTGGTGACGACGAAGCCTTCCTGGTTTTTGACATGGGCCAATTTTGCAGTCTTTAAAATCTTCTCTTCTTCCTCTCCCACGTCGCGAAAGATCCTCCAAAGTTTCAACTTGTTGCGGGGAATAATGCCTCGCGAGAAGGTTGAGGGGCTCATTTTATAAAAAAAACGATTATCAGCTGAATTAACTGGCTTTACTGAAAATCGTACGCAGAAAGAGATGGTAAATGAATTTTTAGTCAGCACGAAAAAAACAAGACCGGGTCAGCCGGGATTCGAGCCAGTCGAAGTCAAGTTGCTATGGACGATAATACAGCATAAAAAATCAATTTATTCAAGTTTTCTTAAAATTCGACTATTATTAATTAATTCAATTAACTATAAAATTAATTAATTCAATTGTTATTAAATAAATAAATAATTCCACAATTTACGTCCATCTTACACAAAGTACTTATTTTCAAACATTTATGTGATTGGACTTTCCAAAAAATATGTGGGTATGCATTTAAAAACTATACAACTTACATACATACATACATACATAAATCCATGCGTTAATTTTAATAAATTGCGTTAACCCACATGAATACATAAATACAAACAGACAGACATTCCTATGTCTTGCCTAAGTCTTCAGCCCCTCGCCCCCATGCACCTTTCTCACATGACTGGTCAATACTTGCCTCTGTGTATACGCCTTATCACACAGCTTACACTTGAACGGACGCTCCCCCGTGTGTGTGACCTGATGGTCTTTTAAAATCTTCCTGCATGAAAACCCCCTCCCACAAACTTCACAAATCCAATCCTTCACCCCACTATGGATCTTTATATGGTCCTTATAAGAGGACACCGTGGTCAACTGCTTCCCACAAATCTCACACATTCTGGCCCCAGTCCGTCTATGGACGCGGGAAACGTGCCCCGCTAACGATAATCTACTGGTCAAGATTTTCCCACAACCGTCCTCTTCACAGGGAAAGGACTCCACCCCTTGGTTTTTATGGGCCCGCTCTTCATGCGTCGTCCTCGCTGATAAGGTGGTAAATCCCTCTTGGCAGGTGGGACACTTCCAGACAGCCTCTTTGTGGGTGGAGCCCATATGTTGTAACTTTGTGGCAATGCTGGAGAACCGGATGGGACATCCAGCCAGGTCGCAGGGCACGGTTTCTTCCCCCGTGTGAGTTGAGGACAGGTGGAGGCTGAGGTCGTCTTTTAGCTTGAATTCCACTCTACGGCAGACGAGGCAGGGGTAGGACTCGAGGCTGTCGTCATGGAGTTGGGCGTGGGTGGTGAGGTGTGACTCAGCCATGTGGGAGGAGGAACACGTGGGGCAGATAAAGGTCAGTAGTTCAGGGTGTTGAGTTCGTTGGTGGGTGGAGAGTTTGACCTCGGTAAAGAAGGTGACCTCGCACACCGGACAGGGAAGTGGTTGCCGGATTCGTTTGGCTTGTTGGAGCAGGGGGCATGACACGCGGTTGTGGTGGTCGAGCTGATCCCTGCCTTGGAACCGGGTGTCACAATTTAGGCAGAAATGGGGAAAGTCAAGGTTGGTGTGGTTTTCAACATGGCGAGAGTAGAGTTGGGAAATGGCGAAAGTTATTGGGCAGTGGGGGCACGCCAAGGGTTTTGAGGGCTCGAGGGTTTCATGTTTTTTTAGGAGGTGGGTGACCCACATATTTTTCCCGGTGGTAGCGAAATCGCAGTAGGGACATGGGAAGGGTTTCACCTTGCCGTGGACGTGGTCGACATGGAGGCGGAGACGGGATTTGGGGTGACCACCGCGGAATACTTTGTTGCAAATGGGGCACGCTTGGGGCTGAGGGGGTCCTTTGTTTCGGGGTTGGTGAAATTGGAAGGGTGGGAGGGGAGAGAGACCTGTAATAAATAATACATAAATTGTGAAAAAAAGTATGCAAATTATTGGCAATAATTTTTTGCAAGTATTTAATGGTATCAATTGTGTACTTATCGCGTCCTCTTTGGGAGGTGAAGGAGGTGGAGGGTCGAAGGTTTGGAGGACGAAGGTATCGTTGTCGTCCTCTTCGTCGTCTGCTGCAGGGTCAGGATCGACTTCGATTTTGCAAAAGAATTCTTCGGATTCCATTTCAGGTTCGGATTCATATTTCTCCTCTTCTTCCTTGGTTTTAGCGAGTTTGACCAGATCAGCTTTTCTTTTTGTTTCTAAATAGATTATAATTTGTTAAAATTCTGGAATGTTTATCATGATAAACATTCCAGAATTTTATAACATGAATGTTATAAATATAACGTATTTAACGTCATCGCGAGTGTGTAAAATAATTAAATTTATTTGGCATATTTCGCAGCGCAATATGCGCAACACATTTGGCAAATAGTTTGCGAAATAATGTTCCGCAATAAAAACAAGGCAGGTTTCCTGAGTAAATAATTTCTAGACAAAAATCCTTCATGGATTTCCACTTCCAAAAATGAGTAAATTTCGCAAAACTTTAGCCCAATATAAAATTCATAATTTGCAAATTTCCTCACCTTTCTTAATCCTTTTCTTAATCTGTTCCACAAGTTCGCCTTGCTTCGTTAATACGAGATTCAACTCAGAAATTAATCTTAAACAGTGGAAACAATTATTCCAACTTGAAATTTGCTCTACTGCGTTATGAAGGGGTAAATTTTGTAGGAAAATGTCGTTCTTTCCTAAAAGTTCGCAAATATAATTAGAATATTCCACTTTTATGGAAACAATTTCCTGGTCGGATACACCACATAGGTAACAAGCACCGAGATTTTGAGGATTATCCATTTTTTTAAGAATACTATGATTTAATTTTGTTCACAAACAAAAAATTCCTCAGAGCGAAAACAGGTGATTTAGAGCTTGAGATTTGTTTTTTCGCTCGTCTCAAAATTTTTGAGAGGAGTGAAAGTGAAAGTTGAGCGTTTTTTAGCCGGGTTCCATCAGCTGTCAGCTGCTTTGTAGAGGTGAGCAGAGCTTGGGCTTTTATCGGGCTAGCCCGGGACCGCCCAGGCCCACAGGGCTTTTTGCGGGCCGAGCTTTTGATAAATCAAAATTTTACGGGCTTGGGCGGGCCGGGCTTTTTATTAGACATACATGGATGGGCCGAGCCTGGGCGGGCTTTTTTTCGGTCGGGCTCGGGCTTTTTCAAAAAGCCCATGAAAAGCCCGGGTCATAATTTTTTGTTTGGAATGACATGAGACAACATAAAGTGCGCTAAAACAGCGCCATTTCCAGTTGGTATTTTTTCTTATTTTTCTCACTATTTATTTACTATTTATTTACTGCTGTTAATTCACATTATTTTGCTCCTTGAGCATTTATTTTGATTGAAAAATAATTTCAAGGTAGTTACTAGTTAAATATGGAAACCGATTGTTGTTATCGGTGTGGAAAAATTGGTCATCATAGGCAGGGCTGCACAGCTAAAGTTTCAAAGGACGACGAATACAAGATAAGCCGTCTTTGTAAGCGCATATACAAAGAAAGTCAGATTTCTGGTTCAAGTGGAATGAAAAATTCAGTTGGTAAATCTACAAGCCTTCGGGATTTCCCTGTAAGTGATTATTTATAAAATATAATTGTGGAGCGCTCCAAGAAATGTATAATTTTAAACAATTGTTTTATTTTTACAGATATCAATTCTGGAAAATTGCTTGAATTCCAGCAAGTCATTTTATTACGAAATGATGACGAAAGTTGAAAACTTTGGACTACCCAGTCTGGATAATGACGAAATAACTGATTTGTGGCACCTCCATCACGACATCAACATGCAAATATATGCACACAGAAAGACGGATCAGGATTTAGCATACTATTGCAAAAAAGTGAGCTGCTGAATTAACATTTTTATTTCTCATAAATGTATATTATTATCTAACAATGCCTTAATAATTTTTTAGCGACAAGAAGGAAATTTTAATTCCACTGGAGAAAAAGAAACGCTGGCGTAGAAGTACGAAGATTTCCATGAAATTCGACAAATAGTTGACTATTTAAATAAGTTGACCTTAAGATGCATTAATGCCAAAGCGTCAGCTACAGTGTTTTGGCAAATGACATCAAAATACGAAGGTTATATGCAAAACATTCGAGTGATTCTGGGGCGCCCCATTAATATTAAAGATCTTGAATCGGTCAAAGATCTTTATGCGAAAGCCCGCAAAAGTTTGGACCAAGCTGTTCGAGAGAGCCGCAATTAAAACAACACGGCCGAGTCTGCTTGGGCGAATACATGAAGATAGACAGTTTTATATGGATGGCATATCTATTACATCCAAGGTATTTTAAATTATTAATGCTTTGTAGGGCGCCCTATAATTTCAATTAATGATTAAGATTTAACCATAATTGTTCAAATTTAAGGTACAAGACGCCCAAAGGTGATGATGAACGGAAAGACGCGTATGACAAGATAAAGTCTATTATGGTATCTCTTGCCAGGAATACTACACCAATGAACCGAGATGACATCGTAAATATAGGAGGCGCCCAGTTTCCAAAAAAGGAAAATTTTCGAAATTTGAAGATTCGTCGGATGATGAGTTAGATGAGGACCCAGAAGCAATTGTAAAGAAAGAGTCTGATTCTTATATTGGAATGAAATATAAAGTCCAAGGTATGTTCAAGTATGCTGTTTGGTGTTTACCCGGCTTTTTATTTAGCTTTATTGCATGTTAATTATATTTTATACTGGTCGCAGATTATGATGATGAGAGCCCTCATGTCCTAGAATTTTGGAGTGGCGCCACACAATTTCCGTTACTTCAAAAAATTGCGCAAAGGACATTAGCCATCCCTGCCTCACAAGCCAGCGATAAGAGAGTATTTTCTAGCACCGGGTTGACTATGACAGCCCGTTGCACCGAGCTCAGCGGTAGTACATTGTCCAACCTGACATTCATTAACAAAAACTATGACCTATTTATTTGTTAAATAACTTCACCTAAATAGAATCAGTTTTTTTATCAAGTAAAATAAATTAGCAATAATATAAAATCGTGTGATCTGGGTAATTTATTTATTTATTTTTCCGTTAGTATTTAGGGAGCCCTGCAATGTTTATTTTCTTGGAATAATTATTCATGGGCCCAAGTGAAAAGCCCAATGGTCCCGGGCCAAAAGCCCGGGACCATTGGGCTTGGGCGGGCTTTGCCAACTAAGAAGCCCGACGGGCCTGGGCGGGCCGAGCTTTTTTTTGTCTCAACTATGGGCGGGCCGGGCTTTTTTGTTGGGCTTTTGAACCGGGCCTGGGCGGGCCGGGCTTTGAAAATCCCGGGCTCGGCTCACCTCTACTGCTTTGCACTAACTTGTAGATAAATATTTTGTCGTCTTGAAAAATTAATTTGTGGACAGTTTTATAATAATTTACTAAATAAAGTGTGCTCCCGGCTCAAGCTCAAGGTTTTTCACATTTATAAAAGAATTGGTTTTAAGACGGATAACGGTAATTTAAGCTTTGCATTGGTCAAATTTTCAATGGTATATAATTATTTATTTCTGAAAACATAGGATTTAAGAATTTATTTCGTATTTCTAATTTATAAATGTTGTTAGGTACGAGTGATGAATTATTTGGTCGGTTTTTTGCAGGTTTCGAAATGACAGAACTTAATTGTTGATTAAAAATTCCATTAATCACGGGAAAGTAGTTCAAAGTAGCTGTGTGAGTAATTTACATGCAATTGTAATTTAAAGGTTGCACTTGCAGTGTAGCATCTATTTTTTAAAATTTCTTGCTTAATTTGCGAATCCGCAAAAAACGTATTCATACGTTTTTTACTAACAAATTATTTACGCGTATTTTTCTTGCAGATTTATTAAAAATGTCGAATATTACGCACTGCATTTTGTGTCTGGCTTTGACTCCGACCAATCTAACGACTCAGGTTTCGACCTTGTCCCAACTACTCGTCCTCACCCAGGAGGAAACTGATCTCAAAATCAAACAAGAAATAGAAACTTGCACCCTTTGTCCCGTCTGTGACCTCAATTTGCAAACAATTTCCAAATTGGAGAACCCCATCAGAAAAAGGGAGAAAATTGTGGCGATGAGGGCAAAAATTTTGAAGTCCAAAGAACAATATCAAGTCACAATTAATGGTGATAAGGACGAGGCTACAGAATTCGCTAAGGTTTTGCAAATGCGAACCCAATATTTCTTCCCTTTGATAACGCAAGGTTGTAAGAAAAAGTATTTATAAAATTTTAACTCAGAAATTTATGTTATTTTAAATATGTATGTGTAGATGATAATATCCCTACTTTGGAAATTAAGGCGGAACCAGAAAACAATTTTAAGCAGAATGATACTGCATATTTAAATGAAAGAGCAGATCCTACAAGTTGGCTAAATCCTAATGATTGTTTAATTAATTAATTGGGATAACAATGTCAATTTTGTTAACTTTAAAAAATTGTATTATTTTACGTAGAAAACGAAAATCAGGATTGTAAATTGGAAGTTAAAGAAGAGCCAGAAAATGAAAATTTTGATGTGAACTCTGGAAATTTGCATGGCACAAATTGGCACGTAATTGAGGGTATAGCAGAAACGGGGATGATTAATTCTGAGAGTTCCGAGGACGAGGAGAAGTCTGCCGTCTGTATTTTACCAGATCCACTGCCCGTGCAACCTGCAAAAAGGTAAATATATTACGCAAAATCAAAATGATATAATAACTGGTAATAAATCAGTACCGAATGAAATGTACATATTTATATATGCATACACGTCACTCGATAATAAGTAACATGTCATTGCAATCCGGTAATTAATCCAAACATGTGCGGAATTTATGTATTTACGACTTTACCAGTTTTCTAAGAGCGTGGAATTACTCAATCTGCTTTAAATTTCCCTCAATTTTATACAGAAAGAGGAAAAGTCCACTCACAATTAATACCAGACGCCTCACCTACTCCACAATCCAACCCACCATCGAATCCTCCTCTGACGACGAGCTATACTTTGAAACTGAGGCCTACACAAATAATAAAGTCACACTGGTCAGAGTCGAACTTGGCCAAGTAGCTGGCACTGGACAGTGTACAAAATGTGGGAAATTTATGACTGGATTGGCCCGACACTACAGTCGACCCCACCCCTACGCATGCGCCATGTGTCCCTACACCTTCAGAAAGGCAGGCGTTAGGAACACCCACCAAGAACAGGAACACGGCACCCCCACCATTGTCCCGCAATGTAACATCTGCCGGAACAAGTTTGGACATATCGAAGTCCTTGAAAGGCACATGGTTATGGAGCACGAGACTGACGAGAAAACCTTCACATGCGCCAAATGTATGAAGGGGTTCAGTTTGGAGGTGAATTTTCAGAGGCATTTGGTCCTCCATGAACTGGACAAGGAGAAACCGCTCATGTGTGACGTGTGCGACAGCCGGTTTCCCAATCAGGATATGCTCAACCGACACCTGCGGACGCATAAGACGACGACGAGGGCGACGTATCAGTGTGAATTTTGTGACGCTGGGTTTACGAGAATTCCTGCATTGGAGAGGTACGGATTAGCACAAATTTGCAATATTGAAGACAAATTTACGTATAATTGCACATGTATTTAAAATTTACATATGTATATGTAGCTCGTGGCACGAATTTATCTTACTTTATGAAATTCGCAGATTTTTATGCACAGATATTATGTATTAGCTCTGTGTTTAAAAATCTGCAAGGTTAAACATCACCAATTTGACGCACATGTTAAATATATTTATGTACATGTATCAATGCAATTGATTTTTGTTTTTTCAGACACGTTCGTTTGCACACGGGCGAAAAACCCTTCAAATGTGACCACTGTGATGATTCGTTTATCGACATGAGGGCAAAAGTGCGTCACACGGCTCGCCTCCATTCATCCACTCGACACAAGTGTGACATTTGTGAGAAGGACTTTTTGAGCAGGATTTGCCTTTCCGTCCACGTGGAAAATGTGCACAAAGGGATCAGACGATTGCAATGTCCATCCTGCCCGGAAAGGTTTCAGGATGTCAGGTGTCTGAAATCTCACAAAATTCGACAACACGGCGAGGATCCCTTCATTTGTGAAGAGTGGTGAGTTTCGCGTGCACATAATTTGCCAAGGTTTGCAAAACTATGCAATTTAGCATTTAGCAAATTTTGGGGGTATTCATGACGACTTCGCTTGTTCGCATCTCAACAAAAATTTCAAAAATATTTTACGAACTTAATACAAGTTTGCAAATAAATTTCCTGGCTTATTTTTCAATTTGCTAGATATGAAAATTACTTTTTATTTCTAGTGGCACAAAATACAGCACAGCAAGTGGCCTTAGACTACACCAACTTAAACATTGTGGAGTTAAAAATGTGCCATGGTAAGTGCGTGAAATTACATAAATTTATTTGGGATTACTTTCGGCGAATAATGTTTGACACATTTTTCGCAGATTTGTCGCCCTCTGATTTGGACGAGAGGGGATTTATTCAACCATAAATTAACCCACCAGAACGCCAGTTATATATGTCATGTAAAGGGTTGCGGAAACGGGTTAAAAAAAAGTGTGACCGCCATGTCAAGTTGGTTCACAAGACGAAAAAGAAAAACACGAAGCGTAGGAAAAAACCTCGTGAAACTAGACTACCAACTATTGGCAATTTTGATGAGAACCGTGCAGAATTGGAAGACTATACTAATCTTTTTGGCGCATGAGTGCTAAACTACATACATTAAAGTATGAAAATATTGTACAACTTATATTTTAATTCTTTGAATTGACAGCTACGTGTATGTATTTATCGAAATAAATAAACAAATTTATTTCTAAATGTTGCGTTATGAAAATATTGTCTTCTCGGTAAAAGCGGTCATCACAATTTTCTAGAGGTGAGTCGGGCTTGACATTCTCAAAGCCCGGCCCGCCCAAGCCCGGTTCAGTTCAAAAGCCCGACTCAAAAGCCCGGGTCGAAAAAGCCCGAGCCCGCCCAAGTCCAAAATAATTTTTATTATTGAAGTTATTCACCTGAAGTTATTCCAATTTTGTTGCAATTTGTACACTGTCCAGACTAGGTAACCCCAAGTTTTCAACCTTGGTCATCATTTCTTGATAAAATGATGTGCCAGAGTCCAAACAATTTTCCAGAATTGATATCTGCATAAAGAAATACAAATATTTACAATTATATATATTTAGAGGCGCCTCACAATAATCTAAAAAATAACCACTTACTGGAAAATCTCGGAGATTTAAACTTTTGTCCATGACGCTTTTCACCCCACTTGACCCAGAGGTCTGATCTTCCTTGTGCATGCGCTTGCAAAGCCGGCTTATTTTATATTCTTCGTCCCGAGAAACGTTAGCTGTGCACCCCTGTCTGCGGTGTCCAATTTTTCCACAACGATAACAACAATCTGTTTCCATAGTTTGCGATTTAAATATTTTTGGATTGATTATTATTTGTCAAAACTCACAAGGCAAATAACAATACAAGGTTAATAAATAAACACAAACAACAGGGGGAAAAGTCCAACTTGAAGTTGGCGAATTTTAGCTTTATGGAAAAATGTCTCAAATTCTACACAAAAAATTATGAGTCGGGCTTGAGTCGGGCTTTTATAAAACCCGAACCCGACTTGGGTAAAGCCCGCCCAGGCCCGCCCGATAAGAGTTTGGCACATTAAAAGCCCGGCCCGCCCAAGCCCGGTTCGAAAGCCCGTCACAATAGCCCGGCCCGCCCAAAGCCCGTCGGGCCTGGGCGGGCTCGGGTTTGCCCGGAAAAAGCCCGAGACCGGCTCACCTCTACAATTTTCATCAAACTTTGTTCGACTGTTGGACCTTTATAGCAAGCACTTTTGGCGTCCACGATCTAAATATGTATTTTATCAAGCAGTTTTTTTTACTATAAAGTGTTACCAATTAAAAATTGAGAGTGTTGATAAGGGTTTCAAAATAACGAAGCATGGCCACCAACAGCCTTTGTTTCCAAACCAAACAACATAATATGTTGTTGCATATTATGCAACAGCTTAGCAACAACGAACTCTACCAATTGTCTTCACATAATTTAGTAAATTTTGCACGACTACATATTCGGCGATCACAACTATGATGCTGCTCAATTTTCAGGGGCTTTAGCGAAAAGTGGAATTAGCAGTGAAATGGGTCCATTTAAACAGCCATAAAAAAATTATTTTGCGATCTTTTTAAGCTTTGTTGCCTACATATGATTTCCACATCAGATAAATAAAAAAAAATAGGTTTAAATATGATTTTGCCATCATTTATGAATGCATCATGAAAATCTACTTTAGAGTAAAAGATAAGCAAATTAGGAGATTAAGTTACCAAAATCCAGAGAATGAGATTGGCAGTGCTATGAAGCCGAAATTGCTGGTTGCTCCTCCTGAGGCAAAAATATTCCTTTGGGAGAAAAACGCAAGCGTGGTCGACCCAGCAAATCAACTAAAGCTCTTGTTATTGATTAAATACATGACGGAAATTTCAAAACTTTGACTGAATTTTAAAGGATTTTATTTGATTAATAAAATTATTATCTTGTAAGATAAAATGGCTGATTTGAATTAATTGATGGCAATTTTTTGTTAAAAGGATGGGAAAATCATCTCATGGCAAAAATGTTTAAAAAGATGACAAAAAAATTATTTTTTGAGGGCGAAATAAATTTGATCCCAGTGAAATTCCTTTACAAAATAAATCATGCATACGTGTATTTGATTTGATTTGAACAAGTTTTTATTAGAGGGGTCGTATGAGCGTCAGTACAAGTACTGATTTTCAGCTCTGGACTTCTGTAGACATTTCTCGAATAGATATTTATAAAAACTTTACTAATCTAAGATAACCAATATACATTCATCATATAGGTCAAGAAATCACGATAATAAATGAAATAACATAACAAAAAAAAACATTTCAAATCCTTTTCAATCCACAAAATTGTGAAAAAACATCATTGCGAACTAAAAAACTAAAAAATCTTTCCAAAAAAACAAGAAGAAATTCTAGATAACAATCGGCATTGCAACCGAGTATCCATCAGTAGATAGTTATTAATCCTATTCCATAATTATCAAACATACTATTTAGAATCTGATATATGTGCATAAATAATTCGATTGTTGACATAATTTCATTATGTTGTACACATAACAGATTGAGAACTTTTGCTAGCTTTTTAAGTACCTTATCACAGTAAAACACATGTTTTACCTTCACATTAGTATCATCATAACTGTTGCATATAAAAGTTGGTACACAGTTTGGCACGACCAATTTTTGGTAAATAAAATATTAAAGTAGGAATCATCGGATATTGTAATGTTACATCGGTTTTTGTGATAATAATTGAAGCAGTAAATACACTACAGGATTCCATTTTTCCAACCAGAGTTGATTGATTGATCATGGTAAGGTGGGTAAGTTGCCGAGTTTTTTGCTAGCTCATCTTTAAAGACGACAGAGTATAACGTCTAGGGCATCCAAGATCGGTTTTTCCGATTTTGTAAAACCGGTTTTCGAGTTACTCGAAAACCGGTTTTACGATTTTTTAAAAAACCGGTTTTACAGAAAACCGGTTTTATCACACTCATAAATCGGTTTTTCGATTTTGTTGAATTAACCTGTTTTCAAGAAAATTAAGTATCATTTCTTGCTCTGAAAGCAAGAATTAATTGTTTTCACATATATTTTAATCAAATTAGAACCAACTTTTTGCTATTCTGGAAATTTTATTCGATATATTTCTTTTTAATTCGCAAAACCGGTTTCAAAAACCGGTTTTAAACCGGTTTTGGAGAAAATCGAAAACCGGTTTCACGAAAACTTAATAAAATCGGTTAATCGAAAACCGGTTTTACAAAATTTTCCAATTTTGGATGCCCTAATACCGTCCCGTTATGCGTGAGTGGATTAGTTATATCCCAAATTTCCATATGTTCCAAATTTCCGTATGTATATTGGACCTACGTATGAATAATTTATACATATTTATATTACACGCGCTTGACACCTAAGATAGGCATTGCTTAAGCATGAATTTTGCTGCAAAATCTTTAGCTAATAACTTTAGCTAAAAAGTAGACATACAGTCCAACAACCGCCCGCTTCCTCCTCCTCCCACGCATTATACGGATTGACAGTAGGTAACAGTCGATTTTTTAAGCTCAGGTTACCAAGTTGTATGATAACACGATGATAACGTCATACCCCCCACTTTTTACATACCACACCCACCAGCACAAAACTACTATTTGTGAGTAATTGATGTAGAAAAACGATTAAAAATCTGGACTAATTTTGACGTACAAATTGCGATAAAATTAGAAAAATAATGGATCGTATTTGCAAAAATATTATTTGCGACTTGTTTGCTCGACTGAGAAATAAATTGCTCGCTGCTCGTGTGTCCTTCCTTCTTTTGGCGCCATGTCCCCTTTAATTTGACCCGGGGTGACATAACTATCAACTCGACCACACCCCCAGCCCCAACATCAAATTAATTATTAATTACTGTCTTTAATTACTTGTCATCATCAACAATCACTAATTAATAATAATAATGCCGTGGAAAACGTTTTAATTAACTAAGCGGTAAAAATAAAACCTGCAGTGCAGACTCCATATAGCCCGAGTCAGGTTAGGCAGAGGCGTATCTACAAATTGTCCGGCCTGTGAAAAACAAAATAGTACGGCCGTTTTTATATTATGGAAAAATATCTTCCTGAATATTCCTAGATTGTTCTGCACTTTTATAAGTTGATGGGTCTACACAATCGATATATGTATACGCAACAAATAGAAAGTTCTACAAGGTCATTATTATTAATAGATTTGCCGCGGGTCGCGGTTTAAGTACCCATTACCCGCAAACTAACTCGCACGAGATTGCAGGTACCAGCTAGCTTGCGGGTAGCGGGTACCACCCGCGCGGGTACGGGTATCGGGAATTTTTTAATGTTAGACTTTTTGAAATAAAAGTTTTCTTGCAAAATATGTAGTTGTGAATGAAACGAAGTTAAAAGTGGATTTTCGCTAACATTATTAACAAACATATTTAGTTGGTTCATAAGTTCTACAAAAGTTTATTTTCTAAATAAATTTAATAAATATATCAGACTTTACTAGGTGCTACTTTCATAGCATTTTCTAGAAATACTATATAAGTGATTAACAGATAAAATCAGCTTTACTTTGAAGGTTATCATAGTTCATTATAGTATTAATTCTCATAGCGGGTACGGGCACGGTTACCCGTGCGGGTCCGGGTAATTGGACTGCGGGTAGCGGGTCGTTTTTTGCTACCCGCGGCAACCCTAACTATTAACATTTTCATTTCCATATATCGTATCATCGGCAGGAAGTAAATTTTTGCAATATATGGGTCCCAAATGGGATGACCTAGCCCATAGGAACGAAGCAACTTTCCATAATTTGAAAAAAATATCCTGTAAGTTAATCAAACGACGATTTCCGGAGCATTTCGTGCTCGATAGTGACAGCTTATTGAACCGTTATGTGTGTAAATATATATTCATGCAAATGCTGCAGACTGTTGCAGGGTTTAAAACTCAGGTAGTACATAATATTAAAGTATGTAAATAAGTTAATTATAAACGTATGTACGGATGGTCTGTGAAAATTTTAGTCTGACATTTTTCTAATCACCCAGCCCTGCGCATCATTTTAGGCCGAAATTAATCAGAAACAAATTTCAACGTAAATTATGACAATAAATTAATGCTGTAATACTGATGATTTCCCCCTAATTGTTGAGTTGAATTGTTGAATTGTTGTCTTAATTTGTAAAT